TTTCCTGCTCCTCTTGTGCTGCCTGGCCTGCTGTGTTCCTCCAGCTCTACCTCTCGTTTTATTTTTAGCATCAGGTTTATACATTTTAGACGTTTTTGTATAGCACTTGCACTGTAATTGGATCAGAAAGTACTTTTCAAAGAGATTATTTTTGTACATCCAGTTTTTGTGGTTACCCAATAAACCCGTTTTAACTTCTCTTTGACCACCTGCAGTTGCTTAGTCAAATAACCATTTCAGCATGGAGTTTTGAAGATTTAGCAGAGCCTGCTTTGTTACGAATCTTCTGTTCTGCTCTTAGATGTCTGAAAATGGTGGCGACAGTGGCTGTTCCAGTGAGCGACGAAGTGAATTGGAAGGGGAGTTTGCAGATCGGGTAATAAGCAGCTTTCCATAATGTGAAAATATAATGAAAGGGCTTAATGTAATAAATATGAGAAGATATTTTCAGTAGTGGAAACATCCAAAATTAGACACTAAGTTTGTCACTTATAAATCGAATATGGAATTCAGGAGAAACTTCTTTACCCAGAGCATGGTGAGAATGTGGAATTCACCACCATACAGCAGTTGAGGCAAGTAGCATAGATGCATTTAAGGGGAAGTTGGATGAACATGTGAGGGAGAAAGGAATACAAGGATATGCTAATAGTATGAAGTGAAGAAAGGCAAGAAGAGCATTTTGTCATTTATAAAACACTGGTACAGACTGGCTTGTTTCTGTGCTGTAGACTCTGTGTAACAATTGTGTAATCCCATTTATATACACACTGTCTGCTGTTTCTGCAGTAGATGTTTAATTAGGTCTCCCTCGTTCCACTTTTCGTGATTCTGATACAGAATTTCAAATCTCAATCACAAAAGAACTGCAGTACTTCTGCACATAGTGGAAATCTCTAGCTCTGTGCCAGAAAAGCTGTTGAGTTGGGGATTCAGTTGAAAATTTTCAAAGCTGACACTCTAGTGAGGCATAAGTATAATGGTGAGTAGATGAAGTTAAGATACATACCAAATTGAATGGTGAAACAGGCTAGCGGGGCTTAACCATCAGTTTATCATCAGTTTGATCAGTTATGCAGAATTATATAATTGTTTTGGAAAAACAGCTTCAAATTAAGTACTTATTATAATCATATTTATAGTGTATTTTGCAGCAAGCGTTTCTTGCCTAGACAGAGTTAGAGTGCCAATCTGCCTGTTTTAGTTTAGTGAGAATATTTACTGTTCATTTAGTTTGTTGCTACAATAAATGTACTTAGCAGAATCCTTTTTTTTATATAATTCTGCTCAGGTGAATGCAAATATGCGAAGATATTGTGAATCAGATGAAGACAGCATTCGAAGGGTATGTACTGCAGTGTGTAACCAGGAGTGTTTGTCTACAACGGCTTTTCTACCAAAAGTTCTCTTCTGGAGCACAATGTTTCTTCTTTTATGCATTAGATGCATATTTTTGTTAAATGTTCGTTTTATTTCTTAAACCTGTTTCTTTGCCTATTGTTCTTCAATCAGGGAAATGCAAACCCCAATGTGTGCCAACCCTTACTCATCCTCAGACGCAGTCAAAAGTCTCAGCCGGTGATCATGCATGGTTGCTTGGTCCTTGCATTTTATTATGTTGTGTGCATTTTACTGATAATGCATGATGTATACAGATACTTTGCAGAAGATTTCCCTCATTTGCCCAGGGGACATATCAAACACCAAATATATTCATAAACCATTGTAGCTAGGAAACTGCCAGGTTTGGACCCTGTTCTGTGCTGAGTTAGCGATTCTCAGCTGGAGTAGGAGGTGGTATAACTGTTTTCACTCTTGAGTCATAGGAGGGGCAAATTAGCTGTGATTAGTAAAAAGTGCTTGCGAGTAGCTTGCCTATGTTCAAATGTGAAATCATTAGATGCCTGAAGGAATTGAAAGGAGAAAATTGGTGGGAACATTATAATCCAAATAATTTCCTGATATTAGACTTGTATGTTCCAGTCTGGCTATTGCGCTTACGATAGAAGTGTTTGTGGAGACTTGCCTCAAACATGTGAAAGCAAAAGTTTCATTTAATGTCATGGATATGGCTGAGATAATTTTACGCTGTGGTGTTTGCAAATGTGATTCAACAAACTTCTGTAGTAACGCAATTTATTTCTTAGTCTGATAAATAAATGCTTCACTATTTGTAGATCATTACTTTGTTGACAAAAAGCCAATGCATTTATTTGGTGTGATTTTTATCATTCAGGATCACCACAGTGAAGATAAATGGAACCTTTACCATATGTCCAGGGCTCACACACATCGGCCTTCATGTGTGGCTGTAGAGGTGGAGCGATTAAATGCTATCAAGCAGGAAAAGAAAATTGGGAAGTCTATTTTGGGCAAGGTAATTCTAACTGTTTGGGAATCTTCTGGTCGAAAGATTAAGGAGACACAGCTTGTATTTTGCCTAGTTTAGTCCAATAAATAGTATTTCATTATTGCATCATGTTGTGTTGTCAGATATGCCAGTAATAACAACAATGACATATTGGTACAAACTGTTCAAGAAAGTAGTTAGTGATTCCAGACCATCAGCATAAAGCACAACATTGTATGAAAGGAACTTTGAGGGGAAGGAGAACACAGTGGATCCCTGATCATGTTGTATATATCTTCAGAGAACAGATGGTGCAGTACTGAGATGTTGTTGTCTCTTCCTCCCCTATTAAAGGGCTAGATAAGGTCACTTCTGCTGTGTGTTCTCATTCCTGAACTTTACTCCATTTCATTGGACTGTATTGGAGAGGTTCAGTATGATGTGTCTGACTGGAGGTGATGAGAGTGGATGTGATTAATCATGTAAGTGTTGTCTTTTGTCTGCTCTCCCTTCTACAAATACAAGATAGATTAATATCACAGAGTTATAGTGTCTTCAATCATACAATTCAACTTGAATTAGGTGATTTTTTTCCTTCCTTTTTAATTGTTATGAGTTTATTGAAGAGCAGATATACGGCGTAAAAGGGGGCCACTTAGCTCAATGTGCCTGTGCTTACCGTCCACTAGAACAATCCCAATACCCATCCCATTGCTCCCTCTTTCTTTCCTTTTCTTTTGTCTGTTTATTTCCTATCACACTGTAAATCACAAGCTAATCAATTACATTTTGTGTGCAGGTGCACTTGGCTATGGTACGTTATCATGAGGCTGGCCGATTCTGTGATAAACTGGAAGAGTGGGATCGCGAGTCTGCAATCTTCCATCTTGAACATGCTGCTCTTTGTGGAGAACTGGAAGCAATTGTTGCCCTTGGTCTAATCTACTTGCAGCTGCCTCATCATATCTTGACAGACGTCACTGTGGAGGTATGTTTACTGTACTGTCAACAAGAAAAAATTTGTATAGCCGTGTTAGGCATTCATTGGACTTTGCCCACTGTATCTGGAATCTCTGGCAAGGGAAAACAGCCTGTCAGCCCTCTAACAATAATATATGTTTCAATTAGATCACCTACCATTCTTCTAAAGTCCATAGAGTATAGACTAATAGGACAAACCTCTCATCCCAGAAAGGCAAGTATATGTTTCCGATAGATAAGATGACACAAGCCATATGCAGTAATCTAGTCGAGATTTTCCCATTTTCTTTCCTCATAGCTTGTTGCACCTGATCTGTTTACAAGGACATCCAGATCCATTTTTGACTTCCAACATTTATTTCTTCACCTTTTTATTTTTAAAAGATATTTCTTCCCATCAAAATTGTAGTAATTTCACAACTGCACATTATACTCCATCCATTACTTTCTTGTCCAAACACTGAATTAGTTTATATCCTTTTGCAGCCACTTGATGTAAGAAAGTTTTCATCAAATAAGTGGATCTGCAGGGCAAAAATCTTAAAATTCCATCAAAAAATCATGAACAAAATGATGACTTTTTTTTGCAAAAGTGACTGGTGAGATTGACTGTTCAGTTGTCAGCAGCTTCAAGGTTAATGTTGTTTCCTCACAGATTTCTTTCCTACCTAACTTTGTATCATTAGCAGTTTTGAACAGTTATGCCCAGTCCCCTCATCTGATCTTTGATATAGATTGCAAATAGTTGAGTTGCAAACACTGATCTGAACATGCTGCTCTTTGTGGAGAACTGGAAGCAATTGTTGCCCTTGGTCTAATCTACCTGCAGCTGCCTCATCATATCTTGACAGACGTCACTTTGGAGGTATGTTTACTTACTGTCAACAGAAGAAACTTATATAGCCATGTTAGGCATTCATTGGACTTTGCTCACTGTATCTGGACTCTCTGTCCAGGGAAAACAGCCTGTCAGCCCTCTAACAATAATATATGTTTCAATTAGATCACCTATCATTCTTCTAAATTCTTCTAATTACAGCATGCCATCCTAAAAGTAATAGGTTTTCTGTCAGTTAGCCAATCTTCAGTCCACGTTGTCATCACTCATTTGGGAGAATGTGCTCATATCAAGGCCCACTGTTTCCAGAGATGCCACAAATGAGAAAATTCAATTAAACTACCAAAAAGCCCAATTTACCTGACTGATTCAGGTTAAAAGACATACACATCAGGCTTTTGTCATTAATATGGAAATGACTAATTATTGTCATCAAATTAATTTTCATAACCAATGGTGGAGAAAAAGGAAAACTGGAATACTAATTTATGACTGCAGAATATAGTTTAAATGTTATCCTTTTTAAACTACACAAACAGGCAAAACAAAAATACAATGTATGGACAGAAAAAGTTAAGGGGAAGCAGTTCTTTATCAACAGTCCAAATCTCTAAACTGGATGGATTGTTCTCACAAGTGGTGAGCATAATTCCAGCAAAACTACACCCATTTTTTGTCATAAACTAAAGATACACCTAATCTTCTATTCTGGGTACCAATGTTATACAATTTCTCTCCCCTACCTCAGCAACAATGCTCATCCTCTTTCATACCCCTGCCTCACCAGCTGCGTTCAGTTTCCCCGTCAGTGCCCAATAGTGTTTGTCCACCCCTCCATCCCTGACAGCGTTGCGAGGAAGGAGTAGGTCCTGGGCTGATTTTGCCAGCCCATACTTGTAGACTGTGCCAAGGCTCGAGGCCTACAACTAGCCCAAATGCCTGAAGGAGCGGAAGCATCAGTGGAAGGGAAGGACAGTAGATCAGCAGCAGCATCTGGAGTAGTGTTGAAAGGGGAACAGGAGGCTTCTCCCAGCCCAGTGACAAGGTAGCTTCCACTGGCCTGGCATGGTGGTCTTGCCCAGCATGGTCTAGCGGTTTGGCAGTCCCAGCATGGCAGTCTCGTGGCTGTCTTCTTCAGTGGAAGCTTCCGGCCCAGTATTCTAATGGCTGGCTCGGCAGTCTAGTCCTGCCGTGGTAATCTTGCAGCTGTTGTCTTCAGCGAGGCTTCCGGCCCAGTGTCCCAGTGATTGGCATGATGATCTAGTCCCGGAATGGCAGTCTAGTCCCAGCTGTATCTTCAGGGTATTCCATTGTTCCTTGATCAGCTTTCCCCGAGCCCAGAAGCCATTAACTGAACTGTGATGAACTTGGTATTAATTTTACGTGTTTTATTATTATGTATAACTTCTGTCATTTTATATAGGCATTGTGGTAGAGTGACTTATAAAACTTCTCACTGTATTTTTCATGTAAAAGTACACGTGATAGTAAATTTCTATTCTCCCCAGATCACATCATCCTAATTGTGTTCAACACCCCCTCAGGCCCAAACAGGTTTTGTCTCTCCCTCATCCCTCATTCGAAAGTGTTCACAGCTCCCTCATCTCCCCCTCAATGGTGTTTGTCTCTCTGTCACACTCCGACAGCACTTGTCACTCCCCCAACACCACCTCCCACCCCCAATAGTGTTTGACTCCTCTTCATCCATGTGCTCACTTCCCTTCATGTCTTCCCTTCAGTCCCTCAGCATGCACACCCAGGCAGTGCAGTCATCTTACGTTGACAAGACAGGGACAATGTGATTTGGGCGATGGGTCAACATTGTTGAGGATGGTGGTGGTGGGGTGAGTGGGCAGGTGGTAGTGAATGTTGTTGGAAGGATGAATGAAAATTGTCATGGAGTGAGTACATGTTGTGAGACCGAGGGATAGTTGTGGGAGGTGGTTGGGGTGCATGAGGGAAGTCAAGTGTTGCCAGGAGGGCTGTGAACATTGTCAAGGTTACTGTAATGCAATCTGATTTACTTCACATTGCATTCTTGAGGGGGATTTGCATATGGCAACAAGGTTAAGTATAGAGTGACTTCACATGTCTCCATCAATCTGGCTATCTGATCCCCCTTCTGTAGAGCTGTGCAGCAATCCAGGCAGGTTAAACTGATTATCAGAAGTGCCATAGTCATAGAGAAGTACAGCATGGAAACAGACCCTTCAGTCTAACTTGTCCGTTCCAGCTAAATATCCTAAATTAATCTAATCCCATTTGCCAGCATTTGTTCCATATTCCTCTTAAACTTTTCCTGTTCGTGTACCCATCCAGATGCCATTTAAACGTTGTAAGTGTACCAGCCTCCACCACTTCCTCTGGCAGCTTGTTCCATACACACACCACCCTTTGCATGAAAAAGTTGCTCCTTAGGTCCCTTTTAAATCTTTCCCCTCTCACCTTAAACCTATGCCATCTGGTTTTGGACTCCCCTTGGCTGTGCACCCTGTCCATCCCCTCATGACTTTATAAACTTCTTTAAGGTCACCCCTCAGCCTCTGATGCTCCAGGGAAAATAGCCCCAACCTGTTCAGCTGTGACTCAAGTAATTTACTGCTTTCCCTATTCAAACCATTTTGATTTTTCAAATCCTTGGTAATAGATTCCAATATTTTTCTGCTACTGATGTCAGGCTAACTGACTAACAGTTCCCTGTATCCCTCTCTCCCTGTTTCGTGAACAGCTGCCTTCCAATCCAGATTGGGACCATTCTAGAATCTTGGAAATTCTAGAAGATCAGAACTTATGCATCCGCAGTCTTTGGTGTTGCCTTTTTAAAAATGTGTGATATAGGCTTAAAATCAAGGCGATTTTTCAGCTTCTGGTTCTACTTTCTCCAGATTTTTATTACTTTTTCATTACTTTTATTCCTCACTAATTAGACCCTTGATTATCCACAGTTTGCATTGTCTTTTTGTGTCTTCTATTTCTGTTAATTTCTTCCTTATTTCAAGAGCATTTACAAGTAATCAACATGTTTGTGTGCTTCTAGCGAGTTTACACGTTCATTTTCTTCGTTAATGTCTTCTTGGTCATTCTTTTTAAATTTGAAAACCTCCTGATCATCTATTTTATTACTCCTTTTGGCAACAGTGTAAGCTTCTTCCAAGCTAACACTATATATCCTTATTTTTTTCTAGTTAGCCATGGTTACACCACTTTCCCATAAGAGTTTATAATCTTCAAGGGGATCTGTACTTAATAAGCATTCAGAATTATTTCTTCAAATGATTATTTTTGGTTGTTAACCCTTATATCCAAATTTCAAAATTCACCTTGGGCAGCTTGCCTCGCGTATGTCTTTAATTTGCTTTGGTTAAATTTAAAACCCTAGTTTCAAATAATTCTCAAATCTAATATGAAATTCATCATCACCCAAACCCAGAAGATCCTTTACTATATGATTATTCTTTCACTCTGTCTCCATTCACAATATTAGATCTAAAATAGCTTATTGCTTAGTTGGTTCCTCAAAATGTTGTTGTAGGAAACTGTCGAGATTTTCCTATGAACTCATCCTGTGACCTACTTTTAACAATTAGGACTACCCACAATAATGCTTAAGGTCATCTTTGATGCTATTACCTAATAAAATGTGCTCCTCTAAGTTGCTGATTTATACACTGTTTAACAATATTACTGTTAGGGGGGGCCTAGTCTCACATACAGAATATATGGATATGCCGATAGGGTGAGTTGAGTCAGAGAAGGCCCATCTGCTACATAAGTTACACATCCTTGCTGGTGTTTATTTTTGAACTGAAGACTCAATGTGATTCCTTGTAAATTTGTATAGATTAGCAATTCAAGTAAATCCATAATCCTCTGAACAGGATACTGAACAGAACCGGCAGAGAGGCTTTGACTACTTGCTGATGGGTGCAGAAGCAGGGGATCGTCCATCCATGATTCTTGCAGCTCGAGCTTTTGATACTGGCATCAATCTGAGTCCCAAAAGGTGCAGCATCTTTTTTTTTTCATCATTGCTGATAACTTTGTAATTATTTTTGAAAAAGTTCTTGAAATTCAATTTGTCCAGAGCCTTTGCACAGAATATTTTTTAAGACTTCATGAGTCCTATACTAGTTGACATTGTGTAATGGAATTGTCTTGAGCTTAATTAATATTCATCTACTCTGTTTGAATATATTTAAATTTTGTATTTTCTTTTATTTGCTAGAAAGTTTAGGCATCTGATCACTGGCAGTATCACCTAGGATGCATTTTGTGGTCATAGTTTGCCAGCAGTCACTATCTGGCATTGTATTGCAGTGAAACCTGATCTATTGAGCAAACACCTGAAGGATCGCAGTGCCTGTGAAACTTGTAAGAAAGGAGAGAAAACTGGTTCGTTGTGATTATGGGTTGTTCTGAAACCTAAGTCCTCTGTGTGAGTGAATGAAGGGGAAGTCTAGTAACTGATGAAGTACAATCAGCAGTAAAACAAGAGACCCAAAGCTTTATCAGCTAAATATTTTTTTCTGTGAAAAAAGTTGCATCTGTCAATTGGAATACGGGAAAGGGAAAGAATGCTGATGAAACAGGATACAAAGTATTTCAGTCAATAAGAGACATGGAGTGTTTTTCAAATGCTTGGGCTGAGAATTTCCCTGGGATCTGCTTCCATTCATCACTGTGTCTTGATTAGAGTTGCAATGAAACTTCTACATACGTATGCTATGTGTATAAACATGTAGCACACTTACCCTGTCCTTGTGTTGTACCATTTGGACAAATTTATGTAAACAAAAATCAAATCATCTGGACTATGAACTGAGTTTTTGGTTGGGTGTCTAACTAATCCAGATAAGGCAAATCTATTTATGAGCTGTGAAATTTCAGGATATACGGTTCAGTTGCTTCCTCCATTTACCTTATTCTTTATTTATATAGAACAAACAATTGGGAAAGATAGCTAATGCCTCCCCTCAATCAGATAACTTTAGGGAATTGGAAAGGCTGGTAACCCTTTGGCATCGTTATCTGAGAAACTGAACAGTTAGTTGATGGTCCATTTTGAAGGTGGAGAGCCAACAGGATAACTCAATCCTTTTCCTGATGTCCATGTACCTGACAGCTGAGTCTGCTGAGCAGCAATCAATATTGTGAGTCTAATGGTGAATTTTCTGAACCAGCTGGAGAGTGAAACCAAGCAGTTTAGGGAAGGAATTCCAGAGTTTGGGGTCTAGATGAATGTCGACATGACCATCAGTAGCAAAGTGAAGGCTTTGGGAGATTTAAAGAACCAGAGCTGGGAAAGGTTACAGAGATGGGCTGGAGAGTCTCGTAGACATTCTCAGCATAGGAAGCCAATCAGTCCATCGTGTCCACACTGAACAGCAAAGATCTGACTATGCTTATCATATTTTCCAGCTCTTAGCCCTGGAGTAAATATTTAAATACTGCTTAAATGTTTTGAAAGTTTCTGACTCAGCCACTTTTCCAAGCAGGGAGTATCAGACTCCTATCATCCTCTGGGTCAAAACAATTCTCCTCAACTCCCTCTTAGCCTGTTATAGTTAATCTGTGCCCCATTGTTATTGATCCATATTCTAATGGAAAATGTGCCTCTGTATGCCATCCATAATCTTATTCACCTCTAACAGGTCCCTCTCAAACTTTGCTTCTCCAAGGAAAACAATTCCAGTTGTACATTTTTTTCTCATAACTCAGACCATCCACCCAGGCAGCATCCTGGTAGATCTCTGTGCACTCTCTCTCTAGTGCTATCAGTTCCTTCCCATAATGTGGCAACTAGAATTGCATGCTGTACTGCCACTTATAGCCTAACCAGCATTTTATACAGTTCCTGCATACCTCCCTGCTCCAGTATTTTGTGCCTCGGCTAATAAAGGCACGTATCCCATATGACTCCTTAACCAGCTTATCCACCTGCCTTGATACCTTCAGGAATCTGTGGCTATGAGCACAAGATTCCTTTGATCTTTAGTACTTAACAGGCTCCTACAATTTATAGGTAATCCCTTGCCTTGTCAGCCCTCCCAAGTGCATAATGTCACTGTTCTGGGTTGAAATACATTTGCGACAACACTGACTGTCTGACCAGTCCATTGATATCTTTCTGCAGTTTATATTTATCCCCCTACTATTTACCACTGTATCAGTTTTCACGGCATCTGTAAACCTCTTGGTCATACGTGTACATTTAAGTCCAAATCATGAATGTACAGCACAGACAGCAAGGCCCCAGCTCTGAACCTTGCAGATTGCCACTGGAAACAGACTTCCAGTTACAGAGATGTCTCTCTACCATCACCCTTTGTTTCCTCCTTTTCAGCCTCTTTTTAAATCCAGTATGCCACTTGGATTCCATAGGCTATTTCTTTCTTGATGAATCTGCCATGAAGGAACTTATCAAAAGTCTTTGCTAAAGGCCATTTAGACCACATCCAATGCATTATCTTCATCAGCCCTCCTTGTTAATTGTCAAAAAATTGATCAGTGAGGCAACAGAGAGATTTAAAACAGATCATAAATTGGGCATCAAGCCTTGAAGCTTTGATTGTCTCCCTTAAAGGAGGAAAGGTCAATGGAAGACCTAACAATGGTATTAGAATAATGAGACCCTTTTTGTGGAGTAAGTAGTGGAAAAACTGTTTCCCCTTGTAAGTTTGCCTTGTAACTAGAGGCATGAAGTTTAAAATAACTGTCAAAACAGAGCATTATGATCAAAAAAGGTGCCAGCAGAAAGGAACTTTCAAAAGGCAATTTGGACATATAGCTTTCAATTGGCTAATTTGGGGGAGATATAGTTGGAGTGTTGGATTAAAAAGGTAGCTCTTTTAAGGAGCCTGCAGGGCACAGTAGGCTGAATGGACACTTTCTGTGCTGTTTTAAAACCAGAAAGAATTGCCTAGTCTTTTGGCCAGTGCCACACTGACAAATATATTAGCTTAGAAGGTCACTCATTTTATTTAATTCGCATGGCTTCTGTAGCATGTAACTGTTTAATGTAACTGTTTTTTCCATTGACATCGCAGGACTCAAGACTGGAAGGAAGCTTTGTATTGGTACAGTGCTGCTCTGAACATGACTGATTATGATGAAGGTGGAGAGTACGATGGCACAGGAGATGAACCTAAGTATTGTCTTCTAGCTCGAAAGGCAGAGATCCACATGACAGGAGGGTTTGGTGTGGAGCCAGATCCACAGAAAGCAGGTAGAATAAAGATATCAACATTTTCCAAACAAACTGAGCAGGAAATAATTTAACAGTAGCTACTGTCCAGTACCTTGTCCTTTTAATGAATAATTGTCAACTTCAGGTCTCAGAAGGCTATTTTTCGACTCTGTGTTTAAAACTTAGATTACAGCCTCTTCTAGTCCTTCAATTCTCTGGGAACTCTGCACTTCTCCAACTCTAGCCTGTTACACATCTACAGTTTTCTTCATCCAACCATTGATTCACATGTTGTTGACTACACACATTCTTAAGTTCTGAAATTCTCTCCCAAAACACCACTGTCCTTTGAGACCCCTGTTATACCTACCTCTTTTACTCAGTTGTCCTGATATCTCCTTTGTGTGTCTCATTGTCACATTTTATTTGATAACAGTTCTTTGAAGCACCTTTGGAAATGTGTTATATAAATGTCTATTGTTAAACTTGGGATTTTGTGCTGCCTAATACTTATTTGACAATGTCATTGAAATATGTAGGATTTTTAAGGGCTTAACAGGGTAAATGCTGAGAGGATTTTTCACCCCATGGGAGAGTTCAGGACCAGAGGGCATAGCCTCCAGAATGAAGGAGTGCCAATTTAAGACTGAGAGGAGGTGGAATTTCTTCTGAGGCCTGAGAGTCTTTGGAACCCCTTGCCACAGAGAGCTGTGAGTGCAGACACAAATTGTGTACATTTAAGGCTGATAGATTTTTGATCAGTAGGGGAGCCAAGGGTTATGGAGCAAAATGCAGGAAAGTGGACATGAGAAATGTTGAAACAGCCATGATCCGATTGAATGGTGGAGCAGGCATTAGGGGCTGTACAGCCTACTCCTGTCCCTATCTCTTAAGATCTAATAATGGCAGAAGTGTCAACGCATTTTAGAATTGCCACAGAAGCATTTCTGAGCAGATCGCAGTAAGGGATTGCATCTGGACCATCTTCAGTATTGGCCTGGGCTTTGAAGCAGAGTTACACCAAAATAATTCTTTATTCGTTTCTCTGATACCAAATGACCTGCTGTTTATTATCAGAGATATTAGAGTGTAATCTTTGTTTAATATTCCTGTGAACATTAACGTTTTCATTTGAAGTAACAAGCTTTCCTGGATGCTTGATATGGTCCCAGCTTGAGGATCTATAAAACTGTGCACAATCAATTAATGTTAGAATTCAATTTTGAAGTGTTAACCAAAATGTAATGTCCTATTTTGCTGTATTGTCTTGGCCTCCTCACACTCTGATGTCTCAGTTTCGCCCTAGAAGCCGCCTGAGATTTCTATTGGGTATATTTGATAAGTTAGATGGTCTTGTTTGCCCAGATTGGTAGACAGATTGTTATAATCACTCAGCATTATCTTTAAAGTGAGAAACAGAGTCAGCATTTCAGGTATAGTAAGAACTGTAGGAAGTAAAGAACCCGTCCATCTTCTCTCCCATCTATCCGCTCCTCCCACCTCGCTGACCAATCCCCACCACTGCCTACCTGCACTCACCGATCACCATCCCACCTACCTTCCCCAGCCCCACCCCTCCTCTCTCTATTTATTTCTGAGCTCCCTTCCCCCTCCCCCATTTCTGGTCCCAAACCGAAACGTCAACTTTCCTGCTCCTCTGATGCTGCCTGGCCTGCTGTGCTCCTCCAGCTCCACACAGCATTTCAGGTGATGACCTTTTACCTGAGCTTAAGGATACTGAAGGTGAACAGTTTTTATTCGAATACAGGAGTAGGGACAGAGTAATAAGGAAAATTTGAGAAGGGGTGCAGCACAGGAGTAGCCAAAATGACAAAAATTGATTTTGGTACAAAGCAAGACAGTGTAATAATGAGACATTCAAAGAAACGAAAGATAGGTTCAGAGGAGGTGAAAATGCTTACAGTATTATGGGGTGTTTTAAATAATGTTGTTGGACTGAATTAACCTTCTTGCGGTCAGATTAGATTTGTACTCGCTGTTCACGCTCTTAATGCTGTTGACACCTTGCTCATGCAGGAGCATGACACCCATTGGTTTCCAGTATAGCAGCCTATATTAATGATGTATTAAACCGCAGTTGTTGAGTCTGTTTCTTCCCCTGTAGCTAGACCTTTTTTCAATGTGTGTTTCTGAGGTGTGGTTTCATATGCACTGACAGACTCTTCATTACTGACTTTTCTATTTGAGAGCTCTGAACTTTGAAAGAAGTATTCTTAATCAAACTGTTCGGATGTGTAATGATATCTGGGGCAGTTGGCATTTGAATTTGGTCCTTCTGGCTCAGAACTACTTATAGTACACTGCAGCACAAGACTCGCTATGCTCTGATCTTTGATAATGAGGTATTTCACATAGGAAGGCCTTGACAGCTGAATCTGATCCTTAGCACCAATTCAATCACTAGGTGATGCAGTGGTCAAGTTCCTGCCTCTGAGCCAAAAGACAGCGTTCAAGTCCTACAGTGTATTAACATCTCTGAACATGTTGATTTGAAATATCTACCCAATTAGGGAATGGCTGATGCCTTTTGAGGAACTGGGGCACATGGTGAATTGAATTAGGATAAGAATGTCTTGAAGTGATTTTTTAACCTATGTTTAATGTTATTATTTGCATGCTGCTGTGTTTAGGAGACCTCTTCACAGAAGCAGCAGATGCAGCAATGGCAGACATGAAGGGCAGACTTGCTAACCAGTACTACGAGCGGGCAGAGGAAGCTTGGTCCATGATGGAGGAATAAACCTTTGACCTATGCACAGTTGATTGTCAAAGTTATTTTAAAAAAAATGGTTATTGTTTACTAAATGTCAGATGTCTTCCTTTTGTCTGCACAGAATGTTTGGAATTTCTTCTGTATTTTTACCATTGCATTGAATGATCTTTTTGAATGATCAGAATCATTGCAAATTCAGTGGGCTGCGTGCTGTCCTTCTGTTCTGCACTATTCTGATTCTCGTCATGTTTTGGGTCTGTGTTAATCTGCATTAGCTGCTTATGGTATTATTATTGCAAGTATCTGGCTGAATTTAACAGCACTTTTTATAATTTTTGATAATGCCAGGGATATTTGCAGAGCAAGTGGGATTTTATGATTGTTGATCTGACCCTTTTTATGATTAACAGTTTAAGAAAAGCACCTTCATGTTGTTCCCCTTCATCATCCTTCATGAAGAGGAGGCAACACTCCAGCAGATTCAAATACTACAGTTATGTTTACAAAAGTGTGATGATGGGGGTGAACGTGTGCAGGACAGTTGTACATTAAAGAGCACTCATTACAAAATCATGTTTGTCTAATCTGGATTTGCTGACAAACGCACAACAAAGTGACACATCCAGCTGAATTACAGCATTGTGTCTATCACTAGTTTACAGGTGCCTTTACTGCCTCCGGCTGCGGATAAAGAGGGTAAAAGCTCCATAATAGACTTTACTGTGCCCTCTGACCCCATCCATCTCTGCTTAATACTTATATTGTACCTTAATGCAATCACGCACCTCAGTGCACTCTAGATAATTAATGACCTTAAGGTGCAATGGCTATAATGTATTCAGCCTTTTTGTGCCATCAATGTGTCTGGTCCAATTGGTTAAGGGAGAAATGTTGGTCAAAACATTGTAAGAAGTTTTTATAACGATGCCAGAGAATCACCAATGACACCAGACTGCCAAAGACCTCAGTCTAACAACTCACCTGATGATGTTCACCAAGCAGCAGAAACGTCCCCTCGTAGAACATAAAATTACCCCATTAGTTATCCCATCAGGCCCAATGCTGTGTACTGATTGAGCCCTGCAATGCTCTCAGCCAGTTCATCCTAAATCATCATTGAATGACCCAACAACTATTGTACCTAGTGTGAAAATAATGTATTTATCTCTATGTGATCCTTTACCTATGTAATTGCAAATGCTTTCATCTAGGAAGTACCATATTCAAGAAAGCATGAAGATTTTATTGAACCATTGAGAAATATGTTTCCTATTTTTAAAAAAAGGGGCAATGGTTAATTACTTGCTTTACTACTAACAACTGATTGCCACTAGATGATGATGATGACATAAGGCTCTCCCCTTCTGGAGTCAAAAAAAATAGTCTATCATTTTCCATGAAGTATGTTGCCTCTTTTATGTAAAACATCACCATATTCTTAGCTTGGCACCATGGATTGTACAATGACTGCTGTGCATTCTTATAAATCAGCAGGCACTTTATGGTTTACACAGTTTTTAATGTGTAATGTGAATGCGCTTTGCAAGAATAAATTCTTTTTTTATTGTTTTAAATCTCTGAATTTATTGAATTATTTAAATTTGCTAGCTTGAACTGAAAAAAACCATAAAGGTTTTATAGATATTTGAGTCAATAAAGTCAGCATTGTTCCTGTAGAGTGTTTGAGTCCAGAGGTTAATAATGGAAAATGAGATGGCAGATTAATTGAACTGATATTTTGCACGGTTGAGGATACAAGTAATATCCCGTAAATAACTGTAAAATTGTGAGGAAGAGATTAACTCGGGTAAAATAACAATCAACAGAGAAATGATACTGAGCAAACTGTTCGAGCTGTGGGTTGACAAGTCCCTGGGTCCTGGAGTTTATCATTGCATCTGAAAGGAAGTGGCTGGTGAGATGTGTGATGCTTTAATTTGAATTTTCCAGAATTTCTTAGATTTGGGTAAAATTCCATTCCAATGGAAAATATTGAATGTGTCTCCTTTATGCAAAAAGAGAGACACAAAGCAAGAAACTACAGGCCAATTAGCTTAACATCTGTTATTGAAATGACATGAGAAGCTTAATATTTTAATGAAGATCTGTAGCTCGTTTTGTGGTTGAAGTTAAATTAAAGCCAAAAGAACTGTGCTTGCTCTGAGGCAGGGTTACCAGACCTGAAACATTAACTTTTAATTTTTTTTCTTCACAGATGCTGCCAAAGCTGCTGGGCTTTTCCAGCAACTTCTGTTTTTGTTGTGGCTGGAGTTGTTGGTTAGTTTGCCGACCTGACTGGTTTTCATGCAAATGTTTCCGTCTCCCTTCTAACTGACATCTTCAATGCAGTCTAGCCTCCGTTGAAGTGCTTTTGTTCTGTCCTGCTCTGAATTTATTTAATCCAGTCTGTCATGGTGGGCAGTCTTGTTTCCGTTTTTGTACTGTAGTAGTATGTGGATGGGGTCTATTTCAACATGTTTGTTTATCGCACCAGTGGTTGAAAATCGAGCCTCTAGGAATTCTCGTGCTTGTCTTTTTTTGTCTTGCTTGTCCTAGTACTGTAACTTTGTCCCAGTTATCACACTGCAACATCCCGGAGCTGCACAAAAATGAAGAGGAACACCTATACAAAGTCTTTACGAACAGTGGGTATCCCAACAGCTTCGTCTGCCAATGCCTGGCAAACAAACAACACCAAAAAGACACTACGCCCCAATGTACTGGCCACCCCACACTATATTAGAAACATATCAGAACTGACTACAAGACTCCTATGACCTCTTGGAATAATGATAGCACACAAACCAACAGCCGCACTTTGCCAGCTATTGTCAAAGAGGAATGACCCCATACCCACAATGAGCAGGACAAATGTGATATATAAAATACCATGCAGTAACTGCAAGAAACACAACATGGGACAGACGGGCAGGAAACTTGCCACCAGGTTACATGAACACCAACTCGCAGCAAAACAGCACGACCAACTCTCCCTCGTTTCAATACACACTGACATAGAAGGACATCAATTTGACTGGGACCATGACAACAGTGCTTTAATGGACACTAGACAGCACTGAAGATGTCACCTGGAAAGGAGATGAAACGTTTGCACGAAAACCAGTCAGCTTAGCAAACCAACCAACAACTCTGATGTTAGAAGCTATTATTATAGACATTATAACATGGCACTTGTAAATAATTCATAGTAATTAGACAGAGTCAGTGTGGTTTACGAAAGGAAAAACATGTTTAACCAATTTATTAAAGTTCCTGCCGGAAGTAATATGCTATGAATAAAGGGGAACCAGTGAATGTACTGTATTTGGTTTTCCAGAAGGCATTCGGTAAGGTGCCACATCAACGATTATTGCAGAAAATAAAAATTAAATATGTAAGGGTAACATATTGACATAAATAGAATATTTGCTTGCCATCAGGAAACAGTAGGAATAAATAGGTCAATTTCTGTTGGTTAGATGCAAAAGGTGTTTGCCACATGGATCTATGCTGGGACCTTAACTTATAATATGCATAAATTACTTGGATGAAAGGAATGGAGATATAGTTGTTAAATTTGCTGATGACAAGGATAGGGTAGGAAAGTAAGTTGTGAAGAGCATATCATGGAGTCTACAAAGGAATATAGGTAGGTTCAGTGAGTAGGCAAAGGGCTGGCAAATAGATTATCATATGGTAAAGTGTGAAATTATGCATTCAGCAGGAGGAATAAAAAGCATATTACCTAAACAATGAGAGACTGCAGAGCTTCAATGCAGATGAATCTGGGTGTCCGAGTTGTTATGAACCCAGATGATCGCTATTACTGGATGAGTCAGACCCCAGATTTAAATCTGGTTTGATAGATTATATTTTGTTTTTATTGTAAGAAAGTGGTGACTCATTGAAATATTCACACACATTGTTACAGACTTTGTTTCAACTATACAGCAGGTGTTTATTGTAATGTAAATTCAAAGATTTTTAAACACAGTAAAAATGTAATCAAATTAATCCCAAAACACTTGTTTACAAATTCCAAAGATGAAGACTCATGCACAGTATTCAAAAACACTATTGTAGAGTCTCACCAGAGGGAAAAAAATCTTTTCTTAACACCTCGATGGGTTTAAAGCAACTGTGACTTTAACTCCTACACTGGAAAAGCTCATAGCTTCTTTATAGACCTCATACCCGATCTTAAATAATCTCTTCAGAGTTTTATTCCAACATTTCTGGTTTGGGACTCTTACTAACTACTCACTCTAAGGTAAACTAGTTTTGCTGTATTCACCCCTTCTCAGGAGCACAGCTCTGCAAAACCATATCCATTCAAGGACTGCACAGAACTTCCCAAAACAAAGTAAAACTATAAATTATGGGTGTTTCCCTTAAATTTTTTTTAAAAGTCTAGAAATTTCTAACAGATCTTTTGCTTGCTAATTTGGAAATCATCCTGATCTAAATTAAAATCAATTATTCCTGCCAAAGTAGCTTTCACAAACTGTCTTTTTAAAAAAATAACATTACAAAAAATACTTGCAAGTTAATTACTTTAGATACACAGAAGACATAGATGTTCATAACCCAAACTGAAAATAAATGATATTTAAAAATATCTCTAAATCTCACAATTTATGTCATGCCTCCTCCCCCTGCCTCACTCAAAAAAGAGCGGTAATACATTTAAGATCATAAGATGTAAGAGCAGAAATGGGCCGTTCGGGCAATTAAGTCTGTTCTGTTCAATGAGATAATGGCTGATCTAATAATCCTCAACTCCAGTTTCCTCATTTATCTACATAATCCTTGATTCTCAGCCTTGAGTAATCTTAATGACTCAGACTCTACAATTCTGTGGTAAAGCATTCCATAGATTCACTATGCTCTGAAAGAGGCATTTTCATCCGTTATTTTGTCATTCTTACTATTGTATGATATTGAATTAACAACAGGTTAAGATTAGGTCAGAAGTCCCACGACACTATAGCCAACAGGTTTATTTGCAATCACAAGCTTTCAAAGCACTGCCCCTTCGTCAGGTGACTTCATCTGACGAAGGGGCAGTGCTTCAAAAGCTAGTGATTTCAAATAAACCTGTTGGATTATAACTTGGTGTCGTGTGACTTCTGACATTGTCCATCCCAGTCCAACAGTGGCACCTCTACATCATGTTAAAATTAAATATATTTCGTTAAACAGCAACTGTATTTCGAGTCTGATATGTGTCTTCGGGTTCCAATGAAGTGTTTGAAGTGTTAACTATTTCTGTCTTTTTCCAGCACTTTTTCTTACTTCAGCCATAACTTTAGTGAAGTGATAGAATCGTTTAACACGTTTCCTCAGTATAACTGGGTCAAAATCCTGGAACTCCCTTCCAATCAACACTGCTAGTCTACCTACAGTAAATGCAATCGAAGATGGGCAGTAAATGCTGGGCTCATAAGCTGTACCCACTTGCTGTGAAATAAAATGAACAAAAGTTCTTCTATCATATTCCCAAATGCCTCTCCCCCACCCCTCTGCAACTATTTATCCAGATTTAGAATTTCTTTATGATTTATCTTGTTCTGACAAAGAGTCACTGGAATCAAAACGTTAATTCTGTTTCTCTGTCACAGATGCTGCCAGACCTCCTAAATGTCTCCAGCGATGTCTGTTTTTGTCTCAGATCTTCAGCATACACATCTTGTTGTTTTATTACAGCTATGTTGTCTGTATTGACATACTCACAACACCTCGGCGGGGGGGGGGGGGAATTGTGTCTTCTCCTTGTGGATGTAGTGCTGTATCTCCAGGATGGGTCGCACCGGGTCGTGGGGGCTGGGGGGCAGAGTTCATGTGTACGTGTAATACGGTCCTCCGGCCGTTAGGGGCTCCAGTGCCTATCTAATACGGCGAAAGGGGATCGCGGAGCACATGTAAAGCGGTCATCTGGCCGCCAGGAGGACCCAGAATACCATTGTAAAGCGGTCCTCCGGCTGTCGTATGGGTTGGTGCACCTGAGTGGACTGACCTCCGGCCGCCAGGGGACCTGGTATACTGATGAAACGCGGATCAGAGGGACACAGCGTACCCATGTAACGCGGTCCTCCGGCCGTCAGAGGGACCCAGTGTACCAATGTAACGCGATCCTCCGGCTGTCGGGGGAGGCCTAGTGTATCCATGTAACGCGGTCCTCCGGCCGTCAGGGAGACCCAGCGCACCAATGTAATGCGGTCCTCTGGCCGTCAGGGGGACCCAGTGTACCCATGGAACGCGGTCCTCCGGCCGTCAGGGGGACCCAGTGTACCCATGGAACGGGGGTTGATGATAGGAGTCGGACGCACATGTCGGCTCCATGGTTGCTGGCCGTTTCATCCATTTCGCCGGCACTGCCTGAGGGAACGGGCGGCTGGGGAGGGTGGTGAGTACCGGGGTTAGGATTGTGGGCTTGGTCGGGCCTCGGCTGGCATTAAGTCAACGGCCTCGGCCTGAGGTTTAGACGGTCCCCTGTGATGAATGGGCTTCTGACCTGCCTCTGTTTCTCCCTCTCTCCTGTACAGGCCGGCTCCTGGGACCTCCATCCCCCAATGAGGCCGTTCATCCCCGTGGAGTTAGTGGTCAGCGAGGTCAGGAGTGCTCTCCGGGTACCGGCATCAGGTAAGGCAACTGCCGGCCTGTCAGGATGGAAGGGAGCGCTTCCGGCGCCTCTGGCTTTAGCTGCAGCAGCTTATTGCCCTTTCATTGCATCAGATAGAGCCGGGTGTAGAATGGGACTGTGCAGCCTGTGAGGAAAGTCGCAACCTCAGCTAGATGAGGACAGAAACCTCACAGTGCTTCAAAGCCGATGAGTTAAATAAGTGTGGCCACCATGGTAATGTAGGAAACTCACTAGTTAACAAGTACACAGTAAGATCCCATTGCCCACCGTAATACGGTAATTGCCCGATGTTCTGTTTTACTGGTTTTGATTGAAAGGTAAATGTTGTCCAAGATACCAGGGACAACGCCTTCAATTCTTTTCCTCAAATAGATCTTTTGAGAGGCTTTGCCTGTGAAAGATAGTCCCTCAGTCTCCTCCAACAGTGCAGTACCACCTCAGTATTGAACCTCCTGTAATGCAGTGTTCCCCCAGTACTATTCTTTGGCATATGCAGCACTAGGGTTGTCATTTAGCTTTTTTTTTGCTCAAGTCTCTGGAGTGAGTTCCTGACTCGGGCTAGACTGCAGCCACAAAGTCTAAAGTACTGTACAGTGTGCCAGTAGCTCCCTGATCAGTCCTTAACTAAGTAAGGACGAGAAAACTTTCTCTCCTTTTCTGCGATCTTCAATTACATGATTGTCAGCTGCTTTCCTATTTCTACATGGGTCATTCAGTGCAATCTACAATCATTGTACTTATTGCATAATGTTTATCAATTGTAAACATACCATAGCTCTCTGAGCAGATTATGTAAGTGTATCTATTGCAATATTCTTGGTCTTGTTGAGCTACTAAATAATATTTGCAGAGCCTGAGGTAAGGAAAACATCAACATTATTTAATAATCATCTTACTATGGCTTCATCTTGGTCCTGAGGCTGCAATGGAGACTAAGACCATGTGACATTGCATCACCTTTTATTAGCATATCACATTCAGACGTAATTTATTATTCTATATTACACCCAGTTTCTGATTTGACTGATCATGTTCAACTCCCTGTTTGCTCCCCAAGTCTCTGACTTCGCTGCTTACTTTGGTAAATGAAATCTGTCATTTGTACCTCATAGAGTCACAGAAATGTTTAGCAAGGAAACTCATCAGTGCCGACAAGATATCTTAAATTAATCTAGTGCCATTTATCAGCTTTTGGCCCATATCCCCCCTCAAACCCTTCCTATTCATATACCCATCCGGATGCCTTTTAAATGTTGTAATTGTACCAGCCTCCTCCACTTTCTCTGGCGGTTCATTCCATACACACACCACCCTCTGCATGAAAATGCTGCTCCTCAGGTCCCTTTTAAATCTTTCCCCTCTCACCTTAAACCTGTGCCCTGTAGTTTTGGACTCCCCCTCCCCAGGGAAAAGACCTTGTTTATTTACCTCATGCATGCCCCTCATGATTTTATAAACCTCTGAGGTCACCTCTCAGCCTCTCATGATCTAGTGAAAATAGCCCCAATCCATTCAGCCTCTCTCTATAGCTCAAATCATCCAAACTGACAGCATCCTTGTAAATCTTTTCTGAATCCTTTCAAGCTTCACAAGATCCTTCTCATAGCAGGGAGACCAGAATCACATGCAGTATTCCAAAAGTGGCCTAACCAATGTCCTGTACAGCCACAACATGACCTCCAACTCCTATACTCAGTGCACTGTCCAATAAAGGCAAGCATACCAAACGCTCCCTTCACTATCCTATCTACATGCGACTCCTTTTCAAGGAACTATGAACCTGCACTATGACGAAAAACAGTGGACCCAGCAATGATACTTGTGGCACACCACTGGTCACAGGCCTCCAGTCTGAAAAGCAACCCACCACCATCATCGTCTGTCTTCTACCTTCAAGCCAATTCTGTATTGTTCTCCCTGTTATTCTATGTGATCTAACCTTGCTAACCAGTCTACCGTGAGGAACCATGTCAAATGCCGTACTGAAGTCCATATGGATCACATCCACCACTGCCGTCATCAGTCCTCTTTGTTACTACTTCAAAAAACTCAATTAAGTTAGTGAGACACAATTTCTCTCTCACAAAGCCATGTTGACAATCCCTAATCAGTCCTTACTTTTCCAAATACATGTAAATCCTGTCCCTCAGAATTCCCTCCAACAACTTGCCCACCACCAATGTCAGGCTCACCGGTCTGTAGTTCCCTGCTTTTTCTTTACCACCTTTCTTAAATAGTGGCACCACATTAGCCAACCACCAGTCTTCTGGCACCTCACCTGTGGCTATCGATGGTACACGTATCTGAGCAAGGGGCCCAGCAATCACTTCCCTAGCTTCCCACAGAGTTCTAGTGTACACCTGATCAGATCCCAGGGATTTATCTACCTTTTACCTGGTCTAATCTGAGGGTGGCACGGTGGCTCAGTGGTTAGCACTGCTGCCTTACCGTGCCAGTGACCCAGGTTCAGTTCCAGCCTTTGGCGACTGTCTGGCCTTTGCACATTCTTCTTGTGGCTGCAACTGTCACCTTCCTGTGGGGTGTTCCAGTTTCCACCCGCAGTCCAAAGATGTGCAGGTTTGGTGAATGGGCCATGGTAAATTGCCCTTAGTGTGCATAGATGTGTAGATTAGGTGGATTAGCCATGAGAAATGTCGGGTTATGGGGCTAGGGTAGAGGGGTGGGATGCTGTTCGGAGGGTTGGTGTGGGCTTGATGGGCTGAATGGCCTGCTTTTGCATTATAGGGATTCTGTGATGCTATGACTGTGACTCCATCCCTCAGCACTGTGGTTGACTGTTAATTGACCTCTGAAATGGCCTAGCAAACCATTCAGCTCAAGGGCAATTTAGGATAGACCTGCTAAGTTTTGAGATCCCCTAGTTGCCTTAATGGAATGTAAACTGTTTGCTTTCGTGATTAAAAAATGCCTTTTTGTTGCCAGTAGGTTGAAGCTTTAATGGGGACTGTCAAAATTTCGCTCTCTTTTCTGCAATGTCTGGACTGAACTGTTTTGGACCTCTTGTACTTTTGCAAGGAAGAAAATTTAGGATAGACAAGAAATACTGAATTTGCCACCTAGGTTGCCTGAAAAGGTAAACGGAATTTGTATTTTCAGGCCCTATTGCTGTGAGGATATATTAGTTTACCTGAATGTGTTTGCAGCCTTTTTTTGAAGAGATTGGGAATTGAGATTTCTTGAAGTCACTTGGACTATGCTGGGCAGAAGGAGAATTGCTGATTCAGGTTTGGTAATCAGGCATGCATCTGGACTTCTCAATGAACACCGAATCTCTGGTCTGTTTGGTTGTGTTAATGACTACTACAACTTCGTTGAAAGTTGCTTCTTTGTAGAAACGAGTGCATGACTGTTTGGTTGGACTGTGCCATTTTTGTTTTGAATAAGACAGGACCATGGCTGTGATAACAAGGTGTAGAGCTGGATGAACACAGCAGGCCAAGAAGCATCAGAGGAGCAGGAAGGCTGCCGTTTCGGGCCTAGACTCTTCTTCAGAAAACCGTGGCTGAGATGTCTGTTTCAATTGTACATAACAAGCTTGGTTTCAAATCCAAATTATCTCTGCTGGTTGAAGGCCTATAAGGTTGTGTGCTTTGTGACACTTATCAGAGTTCCACATCTGACTGGAACAATACTTGTCCCGTTTCTCCTTCACTTTCAAGTCATCATCTTTGTGCATGCAGCTTGAATATATGTGGCAGTGGAGGGGGCTGATTTCTTGGTCGTCTTCATGTGAGAAGTTCATGTGGAGTTAAACTATTCTGGAGTGAAGATGAGCAAGGGTTCAGCAATGTACATTTAAGGTCATTGTTCTTGATTTCACTGTTTCACTACATGCTGCTCATTCAGTTTCCGTGTTAGCTTAAGGATATCTTGGTGAGCTTGGAGTATGGACACATCCATATGATGTTATGAACTCTTTAAAATACTCATTCCATACCGTCTGAGAATACAAGGTCTGCAATTCCATGTGTGCAAAGATCTTGTTCAGTGATGTAATCACTGGATCAAACATGTGACCCTCCAGTTGCTTGATTTCTATCCATCTACTGTCAAGAATATTTTACGTTGTATTTGAGGTTCATCCCAAAACATTCCAATGATCTGATTGGAACTGAAAATGACACCAACAGTTCTCGTCCCCTGATGATGAATAGAACAAGCAATTAGCTCAATATGGAAACCCAGCTATCAAACAGAATATTTTACTCTGGGATGGCATTATGATACTCAGATGCTTTTGGTGCAGTTGTTGTCGTGTATTGAGACTTAAGAATGTTGGAATAACCAATCTCTTATAGTAGATGGGTAAATCATCCACTGCACCGAAGTGTCCTTTCTGTTCATGGTGCTGTTGTAGAATGGGATTGTGCCGCAGTATGTGTTGCCATCCTTTGACACAGTGAGTTCATTCTTTGTCAGATTTTGGTGCAACTCTGATTTCAGTTGGTTGCTGTTAAAATTGAGGTTGTTATTGACGTAAAGTTTCCATCTCTTTGACTAAACCTGTATCTCCTTTTGACCTTGCTGCAGGGTTAAAGCACATGTTCTACAGAACAAAGCACATGTTGTAGTCTGCTGTTTTCCAGGAACACATTCTCTTTGCCTCCTCATCCTCAGTCAAAATCGTTGTACTATGGAGGAATTTTTGGCAACTCCTTAGAATTTAACTGTCACCAAGAGTTGGTCATCTGTTTCTATCTTGGAGTGAAGACTGAGCAAAATCTGCAAACTTTTTCACAATGCTTCTTTTTCTATCACTGTGTACCTCTGTTCAATTTCTTGCCAGTGAGCAGGGTGCATAGTAAACTGGCTTACTCTTTCCATCTGTCGGTGTCTGAAAAATACAGCTCCCAGTCCTCGAGAAGATGCATCTGCAGCAATGATAGCAGCTTTGGGTCATAGTTAAAATACCTGGTGATATCAACAATTCTTCGATTTTTCTCAAAAGACTTCTGTTGTGCTCCTGCCTAGCTCCATGTCATAGCAGCTGCCTTAGTGGTCATTGATAGCTAATTTAGGAATTTTCCAATTTGTTTTACCACACCCATGCATCTCTGGAGCTCAATTACGTTGTGAAGAGCTGGAAACTTCTTGATTGCTTTTGCCTTTGTGAATCAACTCTGATACTGGATATATCTGCCCAAGGAACCTGACAGTTGGCTGCATGGATTCATCATTGTTGTGTGCAAATTCCCATGGGCATTGCAGATATCATTCAAAATGCACTTTAGGAGAGGGATGAATTTGTACTTGAAAGATCCCAAAATGCCTAGGAAGTATTAATCATGGAGGTGATCAATGAGACAAACATACTGTCTACCACACCCCATACAGATCGAAGAGGATCTCAAGTTTCCTCCGATCACTGGTTTCCTCTCTCTTGTGCTTTTCATCAGAAATACAAAGTGATGGTGTTGGGAATACGTATATTTATAGATTTCGTGATTTGGAATGTGGATGTGTGTGAGCTGTGGCTCACTGGATAGCACTGCCATCTGAGCAGGTTGTGGGTTCCTGTCCTGCATTAAACACTTGAATATGAAGTCCATGTTGTTGCCTGTAAATCCAGCATTGAAAGAATGTTGCACTGTTAGAGGTGCTGTCTTTTAGATAAGATGTTAAATGTAGGCACTATCTGTGCTCTCGTCGCTATCTTGAAGAGCAGGGGATTTCTCTGTAGTGTCCTGGATGGTATTCATCCCTCAAAAAGGATTGTTAAAGCTGGTGATTTTTCTTTATCACATTGTTGTTTGTAGGATCTTTCTGTGTGTAAGTTAGTTGGTATATGGCCTGTATTGCAACAATGATACTTCAACAATATTTAATTGGTTGCAAAGAGTTCTGAGGGTCTGAGGTTCATTCTTTGAATGCAAATCTATCTTAACTAATGCTGTGTGGTCCTAACTCTGAAACCCACGCTTTTGTGATGTTTGTGTTAATTAGTAACAGGAATAGCTTCAAGAAGCTGTTCCTCGTCCCCTGTTGGGTATATTGCTGTTGACTGAAGGATCTCCATGGGAAGAATATTGTGACGAGTCACTAGGTTGCTGCATGATGTAAGCAAATTTGGTCATTTTAGAACATCGGTCTCTATCATAAGAAATTATAGGTTGCAAATATTCAAGTAAATGAGATAAAAGAATGACCAGATAAGGGCTCGATGAAGCAGTCTAGTTCCAGGGTTTAAGAACATAGGGTCATCAATGTAAAGACGTTTTGTACAGAGGGGAGGAGAAACCTCTTCAGACGGGGGGTTGTGAGGTTGTGTGGTTCACTTCCAGAATTAACAATTGAGGTGGAAGCTGTAAACTTTCCAGGTTAGAATTGATAAAGAGACTAGAATGAAGGGATTGGTCAATTGTGGTTGGAACTATTTGCTGTGTGGAGAATAGATGATATAGACTGGAGGGGCCAAATGACCAGTTTCTATTTTGACTCCTTTCTTGGTAAAGGCACGCTGTGTTAATTTATAGACTGACTCTCTAGTTGATAGGCTTAGAAGTTATAATATGAATCACAAGCTACAGTTCTTAAATAAAAAGATTTGCACACGAGAATATTAAATAAAATGATTGGCCAAGGACTGTTGGTCACTTCAGCTCTCTGATATACCGTGGGATTCACTCCAGCTACCTGAGCAGATGGACAGGAATGTGGTTTAATATCTGTTTGGAATAGCAACCCTCCCTTCATACCGTGATGATGATGTGTCTGTCCTGGTTTTTGTGACCCAACCATAAAATGAATCTTAATCCATGACCCGACCCAACCCAAATGAGAGTGCAACTGATCAGACCAACGCGTGCGTTTGGAGAGAGATGGAGACACAAACGCCCTTTCCATTTTGTCCCCATTGTTTTTTGATTATTCATCCATTCTTTTGAAGGCTTATTCAGGCCCTATTTTCATAGAATTCCTACAGGGTGGAAGGAGGCCATTTGGCCTATCAAGTCTACACCAACCCTCTGAAGAGCATCTCACCCAGACACACCCCCTACCATAGCTCCTTAACCCTACATTTGCCATGGCTAATCCACCTAGCCTGCACATCCCTGGACACTACGAACAATTTTAGCATAGGCCCTTCACCTAACTGCCACGTCTTTGGACTGAGGGAGGAAACCAGAGCATTCAGAGAAAATCCATGCAAGACTCGGGAAGAATGTCTGTATGGATTTTGCGCAGTCACTTAAGGCTGGAATCCAGCCCGGGTCCATGGCACTGAGAGACCTGTGCTAACCACTGAGTCACCGTACGACCCTTTTATATCTTTTTAGATTCTAAATTACGTGAAAGGGGAAGTGGTAAGAGCCTTTTTGAAAGCTTTGTGGTGACAGTGGTTTTGTGACCCTTTCTGATCACTTTGTAATGGATATAGGCTTGAGTGTAAGTGATTTTTGGGTAGCTGGCCTGGATAATGGAGGTAGGGGAAGGGGAGTTAGGTGACCCATTAATGCACTTTTAATATTTTAGGTTGTGAAGCCTAAGAGTGGAAGTTGCCCAACTCTCCTCGTCATTTCAGCATGGCAAGCGAAGAGGATGATCCAATTATACATGAGGTGAGTAACTGCTCAGAGGGGAGAGTGTGACTGTTAGCTACACATCAGAAATTTAGACATTCATCACCAAGTCAGTCAGTTGTTTTGTCTCCTGTTTGGCATCTCATTTTGGGTAAACTACAAGTTTACACTCTGTGCTTGATTCTTCCTTCTGTTTATTTTTGAGTTGATTTTGAGTTCTTCACTTCATTGAACAAAGTTGTGCTGCGTTCCACTACTGAGCTGCACTGTCTTCCAATTTGAGAGTTCCATTCACTAGTCTCAGATGGCGTTGCTGTACCTTGTTAAAGTGGGACTGGGGCTGTGATAAACTGATACCTTTCTGATTCATCTCACCTCAGACTTTAATGTTCTTTATCCCAAAGACCCACCAACAGCTTGCCACAGACAGTCAGGAATGACCATAAATGCTGGCCCAGCCGATCAGGCTCACATCGCCTGAATAAATAAATAAGTCTTACCATTAAATCTATTGCTGATTTCAATTCCTCAAAGTACTCTCAACAGACTGAAGCCTGACACAGATGATTTGGAGTTGGGACTAAGTGTGGTGTGTCAAAATTTGCAGATGACACTAAGATGAGTGGTAGAGCAAAGTGTGCAGAAGACACTGAAAGTCTGCAGAGGGATATAGATAGTCTAAGTGAGTGGGCAAAGGTCTGGCAGATGGAGTACAATGTTGATAAGTGTGAGGTCATCCATTTTGGTAGGAATAACAGCAAAATGGACTATGTTTTAAATGGTAAAAAATTGCAGCACGCTGCTGTGCAGAGGGACTTGGGTGTCCTTGTGCATGAATCGCTAAAAGTAGGATTGCAGGTGTAGCATGTAATTAAAAAGGCAAATGGAATTTTGTCTGTCATTGCTAGAGGGATGGAGTTTAAAAACAGCGAGTCTATGCTGCAGCTGCATAGGGAACTGGTGAGGCCACGCCTGGAGTACTGTGTGCAGTTTTGGTCTCCTTACTTGAGAAGGGATATACTAGCACTGGAGGGGGTGCAGAGGAGATTCACTCGGTTGATTCCAGAGTTGAGAGGTTTGGATTATGAGGAGAGACTGAGTAGGCTGGGATTGTACTCATTGGAATTCAGAAGACTGAGGGGAGATCTTATAGAAACATATAAGATTATGAAGGGAATAGATAAGGTGGAGGCAGGGAGGTTGTTTCCACTAGCAGGTGAAACTAAGACTAGGGGGCATCGCCTCAAAATGAAGGGAAGCAGATGTAGGACTGAGGTCAAGAGGAACTTCTTCACCCAAAGGGTTGTGAATCTGTGGAATTCCCTGCCCAGTGAAGCGGTTGAAGCTACCTCGCTGAATGTGTTTAAGGCAAGGCTAGATAAATTTTTGAACAGTAAAGGAATTAAGGGTTATGGTGTGCAGGCGGGTAAGTGGAGCTGAGTCTCAAAAAGATCAGCCATGATCTTATTGAATGGGAGGGCAGGCTCGAGGGATCGGATGGTCTACTCCTGCTCCTAGTTCTTATGTTCTTATGTTCTATGTTATGTTCTGGTTTGAATTGAGTTCTCGTCTCTTGTCGTCTGAACATGGAGATGGAAAGTTGCAGCTTAGTGCTGCATATAAAGGATCACGTCATCGTAGGGATTTGTGACCTGGATAATTATGATCCCTATTGATGGTAATGCTGGCTAGATCAAATCCCAGAAATCTTTCTTCAGAGACAACAAGTTTTATTTTGGCAATGTTGTTTATTGTGCTCGTCAGTCAGTGAGGATGTTCCTAGGAGACTGCCAATGTACTTTTTCTAAATAAAAAGCAAAGTTTATTACACACAAAAGGGGGAAAGAAACTATGTGGCCCTATGCAAGATCTAGAGACAGTCTAATTACAAATATCAGAAATATGGATTTAACCCCCTTTATCCTTAATAACAGCCTTAAAGATAGTCGAACTGACACAGTGAAAGGTCACCCTGTTTCCACTGTAAAGTTCCTCATTTGGTTGGTACAGTTGTAACTGTTTTGTCTTTGAGCCAATGCTGAAATTTGCTAGTGCTGTTGCCTGAACCCCTAACACAGTTCACTTACTTCTTAATGTGAGTTCCTTAAAGTCAACTCAGGAGTTCTTTTCTTCTGCCCTGACTGTTTTGGAGACTAACAACAGCTGTGCAGCTAAGCATAGTCCTTTTCTGTCTAAATGATCCGTTTCCTTCTCTGATAGAAACCTGCACATCCCCCTATATTCTAAATGGTGTTCCCATTCAGAAAGAACTTGTTTCTGCCTCCCTGTGTCGTAGGATACCTTGTTTTTGGGCAACGGCCCTTTTTATTCTCTCATCTACCCATGTTTCAAAGTCACTTAACTGTTAACTTCATGTTTTTAAAAGGCCTCATATAAATGCATGCAACAAAGTTTTCAGACAATCCGATATGACTTTCAGGACTCAAAAATGAAAGTAAAATTATAACTCCTGCTCTTGACGCAGCATAAAAATATGAATCAGAAATTCTATATGTTGTATGTCTGGTCACTTTAAAACCCAAATTTCCAAATAAATAACATATCATGAACCTTCATCATACAATGGATGAGAATGATGTTGAGGAACTGAATTAACATTAGGTGGAAGTAGATCTGTGATGTGAAGGCCTATATATATTTCTGGGACTTCTCTGCTAACAATCTTTGCATTAAAGGGGATGCGGAGTGCCTGGCATGTCAGAGCTGCTGCTAATTTGTTTACAGATGACCCCATAGAGCAGCTTCACCCTGACATTTGGCAAAAATGTGTGGAGGGTCAGAGGTACATGTGGGTCATGGAAGCTAATGGAATGCATTAGAGTTAGGGTTAGGCACTAGTCATTACTCTTGTCTCTGAATCAGAAACTTTTAATTCATTCCCACACCAAAGATTTTTGTGGATGTGATGTAAACCAAAGCCTTGTCTGCCCACTCCGGTGGACTAAATGATTCCAGGACATTGTTTTGAAGTAGGACAAGGGAGCTTTGCCTATGACCATTATTTATGCCTCAATCAACATTGCAGAAGCAGATTATCTGGTCATTTTCATGTTGTTATTTGTAACGGCTGTGTGTGCACGCTTTGTTTTCTGCTGTATGTAAATGATTATTCAGGTTAACATGGATGCTTTTGAATTTGTGTGGGACAAGTACAAGGAGAGCTGAGGGTGAAGCGTGTTTGTGAGAGATACTTGGACAACTGATTGACTATCCCTGATAACAAATCTGCCTCTATGCCTCAGGTCGATGTACACCTGGCCAAGAGTCTAGCGGAGAAACTGTACCTGTTCCAGGTGTGTCACACTGAGCCTCTTCGTGCTTCACCTCTTGTTGTTTTAATTTCAACTGTCACGCTCTGTAATTGAGCAGCTGATTTATTTTTTTCTGTCTCTCACCTCCAGTATCCCGTGCGTCCAGCCACAATGAAATATGATGATGTCACTCATTTATCAGCAAGAATAAAACCTAAGCAACAGAAAGTAAGTTCGCTCTGTGACTCTATCACTGCTCTGTCCTGTCGTTCAATGGAACAAACTCAATGGGGAAAGATCTAGTTTTTACTTTATTTTTGTGCTTAACCCTCTGCCACCAGAATCGGCCATCCAGAATGGTATAGCACAGGAGGAGGCTAATCAGCCCTTACTGTCTCTGTCATTCCCTGATTCCAGAACCACACAACAGGAACTTGACCAAAGCCATGATTTAATGATTTGAGGGCAATGGATAATTTTAAATACATCAGGAAGCTGCCTGAGAGGTAGCGGTGCAAGAGGGAAATGAGGTAGATAAAAAGACTGGCAAGTGTCTCGTGAGTGACCATCGTTCTTCTCTCTTTGCTGAGATGTGTCAGAGACATGAGCCGATCCATTCCCCCCATGGTGGGTTAGGGTTGGTGTTGGTGGTGGCTGGGGGTGAGGGAACAGAGCAGTTGACTCATGAGGGGTGAGGGTGGGGAGCGACCAGCTCCCTCCCTGTGGAGGTGAGGGATGAGAATTGTTTCCTTGCTGTGGGAGTGAGAGTGGGCAGCAGTCTCCTCCCTGTTGGGGTGGGGAGCAGTTGCCTCCCTGCAGGGGTGAGGGGTGGGAGCTCTCTCCCTGTGGGGGTGAGGTTGGGGAGCAGTCGCCTCTCTCCCTGTGGGGGTGAGGGATGGGAATTGTTTCCTCACTGTGGGGGTGAGGGTGGGGAGCAGTTGCCTCCCTGCGGGAGTGAGAGTGGGGAGCAGTCTCCTCCCTGTTAGGGTGGGGAGCAGTCACCTCCTTCCCTGCAGGGCTGAGGCGTGGGAAGTTTTCTCCTTGCAGGGGTGAAAGTGGGGAGCAGTCACCTCCCTGTGGGGGTGAGTGTGTTCTGAACCTGCCAGATTTTAATAACAATCTGACTGGCTTTATCATTGTTTTTACTCCCACCACATTATTACTATATTCCCAGATTTTTAAAAACTGAATTCAAGATCATAAACTGTCACAGCAGGATTTATTAATATAAGTCTCTATACAAGCCCAGTTTAATAACCAAATGTAAAACTATATAAACTGTATACCCCATGTATCGAATTGAAAAGCAGAGATTTTACATGAACCTGTGTAGAACCTTGCTTAGAGCATGTTTGCAGTACTGTCAACAGTACCCTCCTCCAATTTGCAGAGACGAAACCAAACTCAAAGTTAACAATCTGACTCAAATGAACATTGTACAGGAGGACGGGTGGCCTGATAACAGTTATGAAAATTATGAAGGGATTTGATTTGACAGATATGGGGAACTATTTGCATTTGTAGGTAACTCAGATCTAGGAGTCATAAATATGAGAGTCACCAATAGAGAATTCGGGGGAAACCCTCTCTTCCCACAGAATGATTAGAATGTGGAACTTAGAGTGAGGAGTTGAGGGGATTAATATCGATACATTTTAAGGAGAAGCTAAATAAGCAACAGTGGGTTACATTTAGATAGTGCCATTAACCTTGCAAAATGTCTTGTGATACTGCACTGAAGCATTATCAAACAAAACATGACACCAAGTGACTTTGGAGGCAATGGCCTAGTGGTATTATCGCTGGACTGTTAATCCAGAGACCCAGATAATGTTCGAATCCCACCATGGCAAATGGTGGAATTTGAATTCAATAAAATATCTGGAATTAAGAGTCTAACGATGACTGTGAATCCATTGCCTCTTGTCGGGAAAAGCCCATCTGGTTCACTAATGTCCTTTAGGGAAGGAAACTGCCATCCTTACCTGGTCTGGCCTAGATGTGACTCCAGACTCTCAGCAATGTGGTTGACTCTTAACTGCCCTCTGGGCAAGTATGGATGGGCAATAAATGCTGCCTAGCCAGCGATGCCCTCATCCTGTGAATGAATAAAGAAAAAACACATGGAATTAAGGTGGATAACCAAAATCTTGGTAAAGAGAGTTGGGTTTTAAGGAGGTTAAAAACATGTAATAATTTAGGGAGGGAATTCCGCAGCCTAGGGCCTGGGTAGGTGACAGCTGTCACTGGCATGTTTGAGGGAGAAAGGAGGAGGAGGATATGCTGATAGGATGATTTGAAGGGGAGTGGGAGGAAGCTCGTATAAAACATAAATGCTGATATAGCCCAGTTGGGCTGAATGGCCTGTTTCTGGCTATACATTCTGTACTATTTCTGAGGATGCATGTAGCCTTCCCAGACATCACTTCCAGATTAGGCTGTGATCTTACTGATTCTCACTTGCTTTTGTGCACAGGTTGAGCTGGAAATGGCGATTGATACAGTGAGTCCCAATTACTGTCGGAGCAAAGGGGAACAGATTGCTCTCAATGTTGATGGGACCTGTACTGATGACTCTGGAAGTACCTATGCAACGTAAGTAACAATAGGATAGGGGCATTTTGCGTGTAGGAGAAGTAAACTCTACCACAGCAGCATTAATATTTTGGTTCTTGCAGCAAACCTTAGAGTTCTTTTTCTATAAGTTTACGATATGACAGCCGCTGCTGTTAGTTTGGCTTCAACAGGGTGTTTTGATTTCTGAAACTTTCTCACCTTCCCATCTCCAGCAAACTCATGGACAAACAGACCTTCTCATCCATTCAATCTGCTGTCAACACCTCCCGATATGCTGCTGCAGTCTACAGGAAAGGTGAGGGAAATGGATCCATCTTTTGCTGAACATTAGATGCAAGTGGATTAAGGAAAGGGATATGTTTATTACAAAGGTCTTGGGAGAAAGTTGTGCTGATTCGTAGCTGCATTTACTCTTGTTCAAGGTCTAATGCGCAAGACCAATCTATGTCTGTGTGCCAGTTCTTTTTCGGGTTATTCAGGTCCAGAAGCAAGTAAGTCAGGGTGCATTCAGTTTGATCATAACCTGTGGCAACAGGAAATGTTAACAAATTTAATTGTGGGATTGCAGACTAGGCTAATGTATCACCATCCCCTAGGGCTAGATCTTCTGTTTTTTGGACATAACTTGAAACATACTGTTCATCACCTCTTGGCAGTCCCAACACAATGACTGAGCATTAATTACCCAGGAAGTTTAAAATTCCAATGGGTAGTATATCCATTCTCATTGATCGCTGACCCCCATCCACATCCTCTCAATGTCTCCAGATAATCTGCGATGTTGGTTGTGGAATAATTATCTTCCACAACACGGGTAGAAAGCCACCTTAGAAGGCATATATGGTTCAGTATGCAGCGTTTCTGCATGACAAGAATGACTATACTTCAAAAAGTGCTTCATTGTTAATAAGGTACTTTGGAATGTCCCAAGGTCACAAAAGGTACAATATAAATGCAATTTCTTTCTTTAACATCTGCAGTGAGTAATGTGAGGACAGAATTTCAAGGGAAGTGGTGTAAGTATGTGATTAAAGCAAAAAGCCTTTTTAACAGGGCACGTAGTACAAAGTGCTGGCATATACACAATGTGCACACACAGGCATCAATTCCTCACTGTTACATCAGACTGAAACATCATTCTGCAATCAGTTACTGAGAGCACACTGTGTTATTTTAAGGAGTTTATTTTCCTGACAATCAACCAATCCATGGATGCTTTTTATTAGCTTTTTCTCTCCCAACATTGTGCGACAGGAGAGCTACACATCACTCCGTTACATGGAATACTACAGCTGAGACCAAGTTTCTCCTACTTGGATAAAGCGGATGCAAAACACAGGGAGAGAGAAGCTGCAAATGAAGGTAGGAAGTTGGGTCAGACTTGATCAACGGTTTGTGCTCCGTTGAATCAACCTGTCGAGGGGCTAAGAAGGGAGCTCAACAACAGACTGGACAACAGAATATTCTGAACATCAGCCAGTGTAAATTGTCAAATGCAGAGTTTCTCTGTGAGGTTTCCTGAGCTCTCCAAGTGTGAGGCTTTGGTTTCCTACCAAGAAAGATTAACTCAAAGTGTTTTCAAACTTCAAGAATAGTACCAACATTGAGGTTGTTAGATACCAGAAAAGACTCACTAGGCTGGGATCCTTTTTCTCCTCAAAGAGAGAAGACTGAGGGGTGACCTGTTTGAGGTCATGAAAGGGTTAGACTTGGAGAAAATGTTTAACTTCTTGGGGAGAAGCCAAAAGTACAAAACATAAGATTATTGGTAATAAATCTAATCGGGAAATCAAGAAAAACATCTTTACTAAGAAATATTTGAGATGTGTAATATCGATACATTTAAGAGAATATTAGATAAACAGAAGAAAAAAGGAACGGTATAATAAGAACATAATAATAAGCTAATAATGAAGTGTAGAGCATTGCAATGAAGGTCTGTTTCTTCACTGCAAATCTATTTGAAATCCCTCTTCACTGGGAGAATAGTGTGTTAGGCTATGGAGGAACCGGGATCAGAAACTGATGGCAGTGACCTGCCAATATCAAATTCTTAAGTAATGTGCAATGTTCTTATTCTCCTGCAGCTGGTGACTCTTCTCAGGATGAGGCTGAAGATGACGTTAAGCAGATCACTGTAAGTGGAACCTAATTCATTACCACTGTACACGGGGTCCCTGACTTATGAGCATCTGACTTAGTAAATGCTTGTTCATACAAATGCAATCCCATACAAGAGTTTAATTTTAAAGATCCAGCATATCAATGTTCCCTCATACTCGGGAACAGCTATTTTATATTATCCTGGAATGTGTTCCGACTTACTTACATGTTGGCTTGCGAATGGACTTGAATGGAACCTGTTCACCAGCTGGGGACTGCCTGTACAAAGAAAACCTTAAGAGTGTTGAGCGATCTTTTCATAGAAACACTTTTGCTTGGAATTCTGCCTGATTTTTATCATCAGTTGCTTGCTGAATGCAAAGATTCTTTTCGTCTATACGTTATCTAAACTTCTTATCCTTTGGTAGTTGAGACTTTTTAAAGCAGTGTCATTTTGAGTTCTAGAAAATAAGCCAAATGTAGCCCCATCCTGTACTGTAAATAGTTTCAGTGGTAGTTATAGTAAATCCTCTGTATCCGTGAAATTGCGAATCCTGAATTTGCCTATCCGCACCAAAACATAAGTTACAACAAAATTCAACATCTGCGGGCAAAACTCGACGATCTTCAATTTTAACTTACTTTTAAACAAGCTCCGCAAATAAAAATTTCATTATTCGCGGCGTTTTCGGATGGAACCTTGCCGATCTGGAGGAATGACTGTCCTTAGCTCTGGAGCACTTTCGATAGTTCTGAGAACATGGAAGATGCTGCGTAAATGCAAGTTTGTTTGCAGAACAGTAGGTTTCATGTTGGACTGAGTGTGAATAGACTAGTTAATGGACTTTCAATGCAAGGGATTCCACTCATCATAAGTATCCTTGGTGACTATTTCATGGAAGATCATAGAATCCCTAAAGTGTGGAAACAGGCCCTTTGGCCGAACAAGGCCACACCGACCCTCACAGCATCCCACCCAGACCCATTCGCCATAACCCACCTAATCTGCACATCCCTGAACACTATGGGCAATTTAGCATGGCCAATCCACCTAGCCTGCACATCTTTAGACTGTGGGAGGAAACTGGAGCATCCGGAGGAAACCCATGCAGACACGGGGAGAGCATGCAAACTCCACACAGACAGTCGCTCAAGGCTGGAATTGAACTCTGGTGCTGTGAGGCAGCCGTGCGAACCACTGAGCTACCGTGCCGCCCCTAATATTTGTACTTGTGTTGTATGTATTTGGCGAAAATGGATTTCAACTGAATTCTTCTGTAGTCAAATAGCCTTCTGGCATGCACTATTTATGTATACACACTGCCAGTAACCCCATGAAGGATGCCTGCAGGTGTCAGTACTGTATGATGTAGAGTCATAGCGATGTACAGTACGGAAACAGACCCTTTGGTCCAACTCGTCCATGCCGACCAGATGTCCTAAATTAATCTAGTCTCACTTGCCAGCATTTGGTCCATATCCCTGTAAACCCTTCCTATTCATGTACCCATCTAGGTGTCTTTTAAATCTTGTAATAGTACCAGCCTCCACCACTTCCTCTGGCAGCTCATTCCATACATGCACCAGCCTCTGTGTGAACAATTTGCCCTTGGGTCCCTTTTTTATCTTTCCCCTCGCACTTTAAACCTATGCTGTCCAGTTTTGGCCTCCCATACCCTGGGAAAAAGACCTTGGCAATTCACTCTATCCATGCTCCTTATGATTTTATAAACCTCTATAAGGTCACCCCTCAGCCTGTGATGCTCCAGGGAAAATAGCTGCAGCCTAGTCAGCCTCTCCCTAGAGCTCAAACCCTCCCAATCCTGGCAACATTCCTTGTAAATCTTTTCTGAACTCCTTCACGTTTAACAACATCTTTCCTATAGCAGGGAGACCAGAATTGAACGCAGTATTCCAAAAGTGGCCTCACCAACGTACTGTACAGCCGCTCAAAGTAAGAAAGCACAAAGCAATATATGATCCTTCTTAAATTTCATTCAGCGGATGTGGGCTTCACTGGTTGGACCAACATTTACTGCCCCCGCAATCCCTAATTGCCCTTGAACATAATACAACATATCAGTTGGACATTCGTTTCCCTCAGCCCTGCCCTGCTATTCTTAAAAGATCTGCCCCACGCCTCAACTGTTATGTACCAGCCCCTAATAGTCCTCAACTCCTTGATATTTCAAAAATCTATTTATCTCTTCTTTAAGCACTTTCAATGATCTAGCCTCCAAACTCTCTGAATTCCAGGCATTCATTATCCTCTGAGCGAAGAAATTCCTTCATATCTAGTTTTAAATAAATGTGCCTTATTCTGTAACTTTGTCCCCTAGATTTAGATTTCCCTACCAATGGGAATATCTTTACATCTACCCTGACGAGCTCCCTCCAAATCTTGTATGTTTCAGTAAGGTCAACCCTTATTTTTCTAAAATACAACGCACCAAAGTCTTACCTATTTAACTATTCTTGATAAGTCAATCTTTTCATCCCAGGAACCAGCTTAGTAAATCTTTTTTGAATGGCTTCTGATGATAGTGTATCCTTTCCTTAATACCAGAAACTGCATGCAGCACTTCAGGTGCGGCCTCATCAACACCCTGTACTGTTATAACATAGACTTCCTTATTTTTAAATCCAATCCCTTAGCAATAAAGCATTAATTCCATTTGCCTTCATAATTACTTGATACAGCTGCACACTAACTCTTTGTGTTTCCTGCACAAGAACACCCAGAGCCCTCTGTGTTGCACATTTTTGGCATCTCTCTGCATGTAAATAATAGTCTGTCTTGTGATTCTTCCTACCAAAATGCATGACTTCATATCTTCCTACATTAAACTCCATCTGCCAAGTTTTTGCTTATTCCCTCAACCATTCCCTTTGCAGATTCCTTATGTCCTCATCACCACATGCCTTCCCACCTATGTTTGTATCAAAGTCATTAAATAGGTGGTAAATAATTGAGGCCCTTGGACTGATCCTTGTGGCACTTCACTAGTTGTCTTTCCAATGTGAAAAATTAATTTCAACTCTAAGGTTGAAGGGTTAACCACTTCTCAAAGGGAAGGTGACAGTGACCTGCCTGCTGACCATTTAGTGTAGGGACGTGCACAATTCTTTTTGGTAGAAAGTTCCAGGATTTTGACCCAGCAGCCGTGAAAGAACTGCAACATTTTGCCGAGTCAGGATGCTGAGCGGCTTGGAACCGAATGTGCAGGTGGTTGTGCTCCCCTGTATCTGCCTCCCATTTCCTTCCAGACAGTAGTGATTGAGAGTTTGGAAGGTGCTATCAAGAAACCTTGGTGAATTTCTGCAGTGCATCTTTTGATAGTACACATCACTGCTGCTGAGCTTCAGTGGTAAATGGTGTGAATGTGGATGCATGCCAATCAAGCAGGCTACTTTGTCCTGGACGGTGTCAAGCTTCTTGTGTTGTTGGAGCTGCATTCATTCAGGCAAGTGAGGAGTATTCCATCACACTCCTGACTTGATCCTTGCAAATGCTGGACAAGTTTTGAGGAATCAGGAGGTGAGTCACTCGCTGTTGATCCATAACCTTGTCTCAAGGGCAATTAGAGATGATCAGTGAAGGCTGGCTTTGCCAGGGACACTCCCATCACAGTAATGAAAAAAAGAACTGTTAAAGGTGCTGTACGTATGCAAGTCGTTATGTTCATGATATGAAATCAATAACTTGTTTTATCAATTATTACAACCAAAATCGAAGTGAAATATTCTACATTGTGGTTTCCCAAAGCTAGTGCAATGTCCTATGGTTGTTTATTGTGTAATCTATTCAATTCTGAGCTTAGTTACACCTGTAACAGGAACCATCTTTCTCATGATCTCCTTAGGTTCGTTTCTCACGTCCGGAGAGTGAGCAAGCTCGACAACGTCGTATCCAGTCTTACGAGTTCCTGCAGAAGAAACAGGCAGAAGAGCCCTGGTATCACCTCCATTACTGTGGTGTGAAGGTGCGCTGAATGATGAGTCCCTGGAAGGTTTACAGTCTCTCTGTCCTCTTATTGTCAAAACAAGACTTTTATTAAAAAAAAAAACTTCCTGTTTAAAACTTATTTCCTACATCCCACAATTTTATTTAAAGTAGATTTGTGTTAAGATGTTGTCATCGCTTTAAAACAATTTAATTTTGTTTTATAAATATTATTGTCACTTTCTTAAATGCTAATCACAAGGAAATGGAGTTCTGTCTTAGATTCTCCATTACTCCTCTTCTATTCCCTGTTTATTTTAGGCTTCTGAATGTGTTCATTTTGCTTGCCTCGTTTGCTAAGCTATTAGCCCTTGATCTTTTGAAATTGTACAAGCTTGACACTGTTAGATATGTTTGTACTCACTTAAAGCCATGAACCTGCACCCTTTAGTGTGAGAATGTCAGACTCCTCCAGCCAACAGGATTGTATTCTCAGTCAAGGTGCCGTTTTCATGAGGCGTGTGTAAATGTGAAGATAAAACGAGCCCAGGGTTGCTGTTGATCAGCTTTTTCCTTCCGCCATGTAGGTTTAGTTGCTCTCCTGTTGAAAATAGAACAATTTGATAACCTCTGCCCCCATTAGGCCAATATATCATATTTGCTTTTGAATATATTCTACCACATACATTTTCAGATCAGTCATGATCTTATGGCAGAGCAGGCTTTAAGGGCCGAATGGCCTACTCTTTTTCCTAGCTTTAAACTTGAAACAGACAAGAACCAGAAAAGGGAGCTAACTAATACTGTGAATATGGTTAATGTTATTTAACTTTAGCGTGGAGCATAAAAACTGGTGTGATTGGTTGAACCAAATGATTGGTATCTATGCATCGTCTCCAGTAAACGGGGCATATCCTGTTGGAGTATGATTGCCGAAAGCTGTTATCCATCTGCCTGTCTCAATTCATTTCTCCTGCATTAGGAAATGAATTGCCCCGATCTACTTAAGTAGTCATGTGCCATTCTTATTAAATTCCAGAAATTACTTCAGAATCTTTGAGGCGTGCAGTAAAGATTTACTGACGGTGATGCATGCAAATGTTTTACATACAGGCCAACACCTGCTCCCAGTAAAGTTCTATAATTCTGGGTTTGCTATGAAACTAGCAAATCTTGTCATTGTTAAATATAGTAAAATGGTTCAGTAAGTACCTTCCAGTGTTTTTGACATAGCATTGTGTCGTCTCTATGTTGTATTGTACAGTTAGAACTGGACACAAGAGGGCAGTGCTTCCTGTGTCTGTGATAGGCACAAGGTGGCCGCGCTTTCTGTGTGTGTAATGGGGTTACTGATGATGTGTGTGTTGTGTATACAGGACAGCCGGTCTGAGCACGAGCGGCAATATCTTTTCAGTCAGCTGGCTGGCATGTTGGAGACAACCGAGTTAACTAAATCCCCAAGGTATGAGCTGGGCATCTGCAAGGGTCAATTACTTTAGATATAGATGATATCACTTCATCTCAACCCCTGTAAAACACATCCTTTTTAATGTGTCTAAACGCACAATACTGTGGACACTGGAAATTAGAAATAAAATCACAAAATCCTGGAAACATACAACTGGTCAAGCATAAGAATGGAGAGAAACAAGGGATTAATGGTTCTAATCAATTACTTTTGATTAAAACTTGGAAAAGTGAAAAATGTAACTTTTAAACAAGTGAAGGTGCAGTGAAAGGTGAGAGGGGGTGAAAGAGCAGAAGCGAAGATCTGTGATATGGTGGATGAGGAATAAGATCCAAAAGGTGGTGGTGGGCAAGGGAGAAAAGGTACGTGTAGACCTAGACCCGCTCGTAGTTTCTGTGTTTGGAGAAGATGAAAATGGCAACAACAATCATTACAAGCACCTGTGTTAAGATAAATTGGAACAATGGGTATTATTTGAAACTTGACCTGAGTATTGAGGTTGAATAGTTGTCAAAGCCTAATCAAACAGTGAGGTGCCTGTTTTTCAAGCTTGCGTTGAGCTTCGATGGGACAGTGTAGGAGGTAGAAGTCAGAATGGGAATGGAGAATTACAAAGATTGTGCTGTGTTTTCAATAAACTTATAATCTATTTCCATTAGAATGCAGTTCCTACTCTTTTAACAAAAAACCTAAATTTTAATTACTCCTTTTGACTGACACTTAGATATCCGTTTTTGCACGATCAAGGCGTTCTGATCACATAAATTGGCAGTGATTTGTCAAATCACCCAATCCCCAAGCTGCTGAAGCAGCTGTTGGGTGTCTATTGTGGGTGTCTATTGTTCCTCTTGCCAATTCCCACCTCCTAACTCAAAAGTGCTGAAACTAGCAGAAAATCCCACCAATCATGATTTGCCAGCTTGAAACACAATGTGGTGGGAAACAGAAAACTGACAAGAATCCATTTTCAGGGGCTTAGGGATTTAGAGAGAGCAGCTGTTTCTTCACTGCCTCACAGATAAGCTGTCAGCAGGTAGAGTGGAAGTAGTGCAAGGCCTGGGAAGAGCAGGAACAAAAAAATTATTCACCTCCCAAATAGATCCAACAAATTAAATTATTTTCTTGGTACCCAGCATTTATTGATGCTACACTGTGAGCCGAGCTTCCTTCCTCCTGTGTATTTTATACTTCCTGCTCTTGCTGCTGTTGCATACTTTTGCAGCTTGAGAGTGCTGAGCGCTGAACGCCTCGTCTAACTTGTGTTATTAAAATGAGGCCCTCTCTTTGTTCTCAGACTGGACATCAAATGTCCCAGGGCACTATGTCGGAGAGCAGGGGAGTTCTTCCTCCTGTTCTGGTGAGCATTTATTCCTGAACCAACGTCAGAAAATAGATTCAAAAACAAAGTTGCTGGAAAGACTCAGCAGGTCTGGCAGCATCTGTGAAGGAGAAAACAGAGTTAATGTTTCGGGTCTGGTGACCCGTCCTCAGAAAACAGATTACCTTGGTCATTATCCCATTGCTGTTTGTGGGAGCTTTCTGAACTCAGTTTGACTGCTGCATTTCTTACAGCAGTTACGACACTTTTAAATTATTTTGTTGATTGTGAAATGCATTAGTATGTTCTGCATCGTGACAGGTGCTATATAAATGCATAATTAGTCTGGATAATTAGTATTGGCAAGCAGCCCAACTGTAGGATCACTCATTGTTGAGCCCCATCCCCTTTCACTGGATAATTTATCAGGAACTGAACCCCTGGCTAATTTTTCGTGCATCTCTTGAATGGCATGAGATTTCATTAAAACCACATGTAATCCAGTTATCATGGAATGAGTTCTATAGACCAGGACCCTGCTTGCATTGGTTTATAGCTGGACTCTCATCCTTTTTGACAATAACTGTTTGTAAGGCTCTTTCCTGTTCACCCACACTTTTTCTGCAATCATACACCATTATGAAGAAACAATATCTTTAATCACTTTGCCATTTGCAGTATATTGCATGATTTAATCTCCCCCTGAGATAGTTTTTAAAGCAGTAGATTAACCTGCCTGATTCACCATCCTAGTAATTTGTTAACCTGCATCAGGTTTGCAAGCATAGTTTCTACTTCTTAAAATCTTGATTCAAGCTTTAAAAAGCTCGATCAAGTTGTGAAGACTGCTGTGTGAATGTGAATCTTTCTTTCTGTTCAAACAGCATTTCCTCTCTCTCTCTCTGCAGTGAATATTTGTCCATGTTGATGCCTCTGGTTGAAGAAGAGGAATCGTAAGTCAACTCTTTTCCTTCATATCCTGCTGGGCTCAAACCCATATTGAACTATAATGCTACTTCCCTGCAAGAGTTCTAGTTTTTAAAATCATTCTCTGATTTGAAAATCTTTGCAGGTAAAGCTGTGTTATTCAGAGATTCAGCAATATTGATTTCCTTTGCAGGAAGGTCCCTCTGGCCCCCAGTAATGTGCTGTCTATGGCTCAGCTACGAACTCTTCCCCTCGCAGATCAAGTGAGGACCCTGATGAAGAATGGTGAGTGGTTTGCTACTTTCTGGCGATGATTTGTTTCTTGCAGTGCCCCAAATGCACGTCTACATTCCTGTCTGGCATCCCAACTTCTCCCTGTAAAATTGAGCTAATGCAAAACTCTGCTGTATGTTTTCAAACTTGCACCAAGCCCTGTTCACGAATCACCCCTCTGCTGGATGACCACATTGACTTCTAAGCCAACACCACCTCAAATCTACAATGTTTGTTTACTCACCTTCCTCCATGGCCTTGGCCACCCCTGTCTCTGTAATCTCCTCCATCTCTACAACACTTACAAATCTCTGTGCTGCTCTAATTTCTCACCTCTTGTACGTTCTTCATTTTAATCGATCCACTGTTGGCAGCTGTGCCTTTTATTCTCCCCAGGCCGAAGGTCTGGAATTGCCTCCCTACAGCTTTCCTCTTTTAAGATGCATCTGACAAAGCTGTCTAATATCTCCTTCTGTGGCTCAGTGTCACGTTATCTAATAGCATTCCTGTGAAGGGCCTAGGGATGTTTTACTACATTAAAGGTACTGTGTAAGTGCAGGTTGTTGTAGTATTGAGCTGATAAAGGGTGATTTTTATAGAGCTTTCTAATCCCCACCCCTCATGCATGGAGTCCTGGGAACACATGTATGGTATTCACAGGAACTCTCGCAGTGAACAAGATTACATGCCCATTGCACATTTTGTAAATTCACTCTACTTTTTGATCTGAATTTTATCGAGCAAACTGAGATCTTTTTGTGTATACATACATCGTGGTCTGCTGATGACATTGGTCACAGTAAGTTGAATACAAAGGTTATTTAATGTGCACAGTTTTATATCTAATGGACATTATTTCTCTGTCTCTTCCCTCCTGACATAGTGAAAGTTGTACAGTTTGCAAATCTGATGGGTCTTCTAGGATCAGGAGTTGATTCCACGGCAGTCTTACGCTGTATTCAGCAAGTGGCCATGTTGGTTCAGGGATGCTGGGTCGTTAAAAGGTACGTCCTGATGATAACTCAGTAGCCATTCAATTAGTGCAAGATTCTCTTTGACAAAATGCATATTTGTGGCTGACCAAATATGATCATCTTTGAACCAGAATACATCAGTGGAAGAGCCCTTGTTCTCCAGTGAACTTTATCTCCCCCCAGACCCCATATTAAATTGTTTAATTTGCTATGAGATGTTTACTTGGTGCTGAATACAATGGTTTGAGGTCTTGATCCTGTCCGTAAGAATTTTCAGCTTAACAATTACATTGATACTGTTAATGAGCCCCGTTAAATTAGTTACTAGAACAAATTTTACAGTCTGTCTTTAGGTTGGGTGAGCATGGGGTACCCTATCTCTCACTTGAGTAGGTCCCTTAACGATCAATGAAACCTTCGGTATATAATGATTTGCGGTTTAAACTTACTGATTGCATATAACTAGGCGTGGGTAACTTGAGACAGTAAGTTGTGCAACATACTTTAACTGAAGGGTGAGTTCCTTGAAATGCTGAGCAAGAGTCTCCTAGTTTGGAGTGCCTGGTTTGGAAATGCATTGCATGGAGGGATGTCACTAATTTGCAGTCTCTTCAGAGTCAACTGGGCTGACTGTACAGTCTGTACTTCTCTCCACTACCCACTCCAACTTGCTGTTGCTGCTCATCTTTAAAGTCCCTAACCCGAAAAATATCTTTTGCACAATATTTCCAGCCTCACTGTCTACTCAGTGCCTGTTTCTTCTGTTTGAAACTCTTTGGGACAATTGCGATCCAAAAGACACCAGAAATGCACATTAATGGATACCGTTATTGAAGGCTTTTACAGAGCATGCAGGAAGCTGATTACTGTTGGGAGTAAGATCTGCTCATTGCCCTTAATATCCACAATTCTAATTATCAACGTCAAGGCTGCAGCACCAGAGAACATTGGTCTGCCGTCGGAACAGGAGGAGGCTGTCCTGTCTGTTTCGCTATTCAATTAGACCGTGGCTGTTGTTCCATATTCCTTAGCAAGCTCACCCAAGAAAAAGCATCAATTTCAGTTTTTAAATGTTCATACCTGCTCGCTTGCTGGCTTTTTTGGTGAGAAGGTTCTGACCTTCCACCATCCTTTGCATAAAGAAATGCCTCTTGACCCCTGAATGACCTGGCTCTGATTTTTATGCCCTCCTATTCAGGGCTGCTCCTGGTAGAAGTAAATTTCTCTCTGCTGTGCTTACCATATTATCATTTACTCATCTTAAATACCTCAATTAGATCATTGCATCCCCATCCCCCTCCCTTTAGTCTTGTATACTGAAGAGAATCCACCTAAATTTGTCTCTAGTTTCTGATGTCCTTCAGGGTAATGGGACCTGTGACATAGCCACTCACCCCAAAGATCTAAGGGAGCTTGAGCTTGAAATCGGTTGACAGGATGTTCAGACTGATTGTGTAGAGGTCAAGAGCCGTGACCTATCTAATTCACTGTTTTGTTATAGTTCTTCAAGTACTTCTAAATATATTTTTATTTCTCCATACTTGAGTAACATGTTCCTGTTTTTGTTTGAGCAGTGATGTGTTGTATCCGAAGGATAGCTGCAGCCCGCACAGTGGAGTTGCAGCTGAAGTGCTGTGTAGAGGAAGGGACTTTGTTGTGAGTACCCCAATGTTACATGAGCGCTTGTTTCTTTATTTAAGCTGAATAAAATTGAAAGAAAGATGTGCATGTCTACAGTGCTTTTCATGACCATGGGATGACCAAAGCATTTTACAGCCAATCTAGTACTTTTGAAGTGTAGTCATTGTTGTAAAGCTGCATGCAGCAAGCTCCAGCAAACAGGAAGTTGGTTATCAGATATCTTTTTCAGTGATGTTTGTTAACATAAATATTTGCTGTGACATGGTGGAGAACTCGCTGAAATTTCTCAAATTGGTACCATGGGATCTATTATATGAGGGCAGACTAGGGGCTAAGTTTAAATTTCATCCAAAACACAGTGTTCCGACAGTGCAGCACTCCCTCTGTAAGACATAGAGGGTGCGTCACAGGATTTATGGGTTGAAGTGCCTGAGGTAGCACATGAACCTATACGTTCCTCACTCAAAGAGTGCTAACAGCAGAATCAAGTATGAGACCTAATGGATCTGAGGTTATTGCTGTTCATTGACATGTTCCTTTCCAGCTTCAGTTCTGGCATGTTCATTTCTATCACAAGTTGAACAAGAGCTGACCTGTAAAATTTTATGAAGTGAAAATGCAAGGAGATCCTTTTACAGGTTTATGGTCAATGTTCTATTTATTTTTCAAAAAAAAAAAGCAAAAATGACATGGCTAAAGAAGTCTGGAGTGTTTCCTGACAGCATAGATCACCCAATAAAAGTACTGAATTGGAAAACTGGCTGTGAAGTTATGGAAACTGATATTCCAGGGTTATATTGAGAGAACACTGTGCTGTTGAGCTGCCATCTTTCACTAATGACATTAAGCCAGAGCCCTGTCTGCCCTCTCATAAAAGATCCTATTGGAATTCTTCTGGAGGTTGCTATTAGGAAAACGAAGTTCACCCTGGAATCCCAGCTATTATTTATCCCTAAACCCAACATCGCTGAGACAGGTTGTCCACTCATTATATCTCGTTGCTATTTGTGAGAGCTTGTTTTGTGCTCATTGGCTACCACATTATGTTTCATTGGTTAAAATGCTTTGTGATGCTCTGAGGTTGTAAGACTGTTGTATAAACAGGTGTTCTTTTGAAATAATGAAGTTAAGTTGTGAAGTAATTTAGGAATTTTGCTTGTTCATCCTTGCTGTACATCTAAAACGTCGTGCTTTTAACACTGCATTTAGAAAGAGTTCACATCAGAACTGCTTGGCCTATGATTTTCAAATGTCAAAACAAATTTTGATTTGGTTCACCATTTTGTGAAACAGTCCAGATGTGTCTGGTGTTTTGTTTTTGAAGCAAACCACAAACATATGATCTGATATCTCGTGAATTTTAAAATTCTTATCTTTGTTTTTAAATCTCTCCTTAGCCTGGACCCCTTTCTATTTCTGAAACCATCTTCAATCCTAAAATCTCTCTCACTTTCAATTCTTGCCTTAATTTTGTTCACTCAGATATTTGGAACCCAGTCTTCAAGTGCCTTTGCCATAAACTCTTGAATTTTCTCCCAAAATCCCTCCACTTTTCATCCCCAAGATATAAAATATGTGCATTGTATTATCATGTTAGTTTTATAGGTATCTTTAATTGACCAGGCCATTTTAAAAACAAATCCAAACAACATAGATGTGACGGATGTATTTGTTAATAATGTGTTAATTGATCTTGCTGATTTATGAAGTAGAAGAACCAATCAGCAGTTTTAGAGGAATGCACTGAGCTTCAGCATTCTGAGTTTATTACAGAGCGATTCTGGATGTTTGGAAACAATGGGAGTATCCATGGAATATATGAGAAAACTGCGATCCCATTTCTGAACCTAGATACTGCATGCTATATATGGAATACATAATAAAACTGGCCATTTGGCCTAACAAGTCCATTACCATGTTTATGCTTCACATGTGCTTCCTCCCATCCTCCTCCTCTAATACACTCAGTATTATCTTCTTTTTTCTTCATGTATTTATCTAGCCTCCTATTAAATCAAACTGTTCACATCAACCACTCCCAGTGGTAGCAGATTTCACATTCTAACTACTGTGTCAAGAATTTACTCCTGAATTTCCTATTTGATTGTTTGGTGATTACCTCAAGTTTTAGTCTTTTCCGTAATTTGAAGGTATCTATTAGTTCGTCCCTCCGGCTTTTGTCAAGAAAAAGAAAGACCTGGTCTATTTCTTTTCAGATGTGTGTTGCCTCCCATTTCTAGTGTCACTGGGAGAAGTGTAGGGATGAAGAAATACTTGGGAAAGAATGCACTTGATGTACCACCTATTAGTGAATTTGGTGATTTAGTTACAACTGGTTACAAAACCCACCACAGTGAACTAAAGCAACATAGGAGTGTTCGCAGCTCAGAACCCTGTCTGTCCTATAGATAACTGCAGAAGCTTGGATCTGACAAAAATCTTTCATTCTCAGCTTTGTAACTGTCAGACTCACTTCCAGCAAACATTTGGAGAAGAGAATTCTAGATTTCCATTACCCTTTGAAAAATTGTTTCCTGCCTTTGCTCCCAAATTGTCAGATCTAATTTTAGGATTGTGCCCCATTGTTCTGAACTCTTCCTCCTCCCCACATCTTACCAGAGGAAATAGTTTCTCTCCATTTACTCTAACAACTCCTTTCATCATTTTAAGTGATCAGATCACCCCTTAATCTTCTCAAGTTAGGGAAATTCAAATCAAATTTGTGCTCTGTCTTCCTATGTATTTGTCTAATCTCAGTATCGCTGTAAAATTGGGTAGTTAAATTTTAATTTTATTTTTCTTTGTTTCCCCTGTTGTAGATGTGGAAGTTTACGCAAGACCTGTGGGTCATACGAAAAGAAGTAGCCGCTGTAATCAAGGTACGCAGCTCAGCAGATTCGCTGCTGACATCCGTGTTAGTTCAGCCCATGGTATTTTCAGCAATGTGAAAAAACAACCAATTCTATAGGATATATTTACGAAGCAAAACACTGGACAGTAGCATTCTGCAAATATAGTACTCCTTTTTTCACACTGTCTCATATATATGCCTACACTCTCTGGCATATTGTTGCTCACACGCTTGCATCTATAAATGCAAGCTCTCAAATCTGTGCAGTATACTCGCATCCCAACACTGACCAAAAAGGCACAGACTTTGAGAAATGTTTATCCAAACTCATTATTTTTGGGATTTAATTCTTTTAAACAATGTCTGAATATAGTTTTATGAATTTAAAGATACATCTATAGGAAGGTGAGTGCTTAATATGTTCGAGTATTGACAGTGTTTAACCTTTAGAATTTCATCTATTCTCTCAGTAAACAGAAGAGAACCGTCATTTTGCAATGAATTGTGCCATTTTTCATTTTTAAGTTAATAACGTTGAAAGGTTTGCTATCGTGTACAGAATCCAGTCTCTTGGCATTATGCGTTGGGTTTGGTGCCTTCACCTTACAAAGACCCTACACGTGTTCAAATTTTGCCATGCAGCATATGTAACAATGATTTTTTTTATATAAAACAGTATTTGGTCATTTTAATAAGTAAAGCCTGGCAAATCAATCTTACCTATTCATCTTTATCGATCAGCTCCCCCCTGAGGATGTGAAGGACTTTCTGGAGCAAATGGCAGTTCCACGTATCAACAAGGGCTGGGAGTTCCTGCTTCCCCCTGATGCAGAATTTGTGAAGAAGCATCCAGATGTTGTCCAGAGGCAGTACATGCTTTGGATGGGGATTCAGGCCAAGTAATCTAATGTTTCATTGGGGGTTTGGGGATGACAATACAGCTGCCACACTTGCCTTTAACACATCAGCTGTTACGTACTGACTGTTAAAGTTTGGATAGAATTGCTTGCCCACTAACCATTCGGTTGAATATTTGATGATGAACACCGTGAATTGAATGGTTTCTTTCTGTGCTGTAAAAGCTCTATGACTCAGATGTTTCACCTGGGCCCTGTATAACTGAAGTATAATATCTTTATTGTTATGTTTTTTAAAAAAAAATAGTTTTGCAAGAAAGGAAAGCATTCCATTGACTATCTTAATTATTAGCAGTATCTACAGACTAATTTCTTGTGACTTGTACGCTGGAACATGTAGAACCCTCCGTAGCTTGGAACTCTGTAGTCATTCTTCGTTTAAATAACACTGTGCTTCTTTATTCCTCCCACCAAAATGAGCTATTTCACATATTTTCTCAGATTACATTCAGCATCTGCAAGGTTTTTTTTTCCCCCCATTCATTCAGTCAGTCTATATCAGTCTGCAATGTCTTTGTCGTCCTCGCTGGTAGTGGTACCTTCCTTTCCCTAACCACTGCCCAAATCAGAAAATTATATCCTACAAGGTGTGACCACCCTAACAATCAACGAGATGTACCCTGTCATACTCTCAGAATTTTGAATTTTAATTAATGTAAACATTCTTTGCAACTTTTTTTTTAAGCGTTCCTCTCATACTGTGTCACATGCCTAGTGACTTGCCCACTAACTACTGTTGGTTACTCACTTCAGTTGTCAACCAGAAGGAGCAGAAAAGATTCACAGAGCTGCAAGTTTTCCCTGCTTAGCCCCACCCTGTAATAACAAGTAAGCATTTCAACCCTACCTAGCACAGTGCATCCCATCACTGGGATACTGCATTTGCTTTGCAGTTTTACATTATACCAGGGCAATACTGTTGCTATGGTGACAGCATAGATCTGTGGCAAAACAGTTAATATGATTAGACTGTCTGTCACTCCACCCTTGTGAGCCTTTAACAGGCTGCTGCATGTTTCAAATTGTTGCCCTGCATTATTGTATCAAACTCATTGTCCTGTCTTCCATTTGTTTCTTTCACATCACAAAAGTAGAAAGTTTTTTTTTAATCATTCAACTGCATGTTGTACGAATAATCTATCTGTAGACTTTTTTTCCCAAGTCATCGCACTGGCTTTTTCAGTTCCCACAAGAGCACCATTGTGGTAGGCTATTGAGTTGCATTGCTAAGAGTTATAGCTCATTCCTGGTTCATTTCATCAGGGAGATGAGTGAGCATTTTAGCAAGAGAAAACAGACAAAACATTTCTGTTTTAATCAAGATTTCTCTACCATACTTTCAGGTCACTTTTTTAGATCTTTTTTGATTTCCCTCTTTGCTGCCGGCTGCCATTAGATGAATATGTCACATTCCAGGCAGTTCCTTTGTACATTGTATTAGAAAAGGAGGTTTGTAACACATTTCCAGCTGCATTGTTAGTGGGACATAATGAATCTTGTAGACGTTGTCCTCCAGAATTATTGGTAGTGGCTTTCTCCTATTGAATTATTTCCCTCGCAGCAGAATCCCTGTCTTATAAAATCTGAATAAGTTTGGTAAAAGAAAATTACTGAAAAGCTTTTCTTTTAAAAGGACAAGTTTTTTTGAGAGGGGAAGTGAATAATTTGACAGCCCCTTCCCCTGTTCAAGCTTACTGGCAATTTAATTTAAGACTACCTGTGTTTTAACTTGATTTTTTACTCATTTGGGATCCTTAGAATCTTTAGATTTCTTCACACAGGGTGATTTCATTTCTTGTTTAAACACAGAGATAGGAGATGCAGACCTTGAGTTTACTGTCGAGCAGTGTTCAGCCAAGTTATCTATTTAACTCCTGTTACCAAAACAGTTCGTAGAGTAAAAAGTGCGTAGGTTCTTTACCAGTTGTAACTGCAGATTTTTCTCCATTTGCAGATTAGAGAAAGTGTACAATCTCTCCAAGGAAGATGTGATGCCAAAGAAACCCACCTCTCAAGCAGGTAACAATGACAAGATACCAGCCTACTTTGAATCACTGGGTGGATTTAATTAGTGACCAACGTAAAAATGACTAGTCTTTCCTTTTATAACTAAATAGAACAAGCTGTTGTTTTAAACATCAAGGTCAGCATCAGCAGTACTGGTCTACAGTGAAGGAAATATTCAGATTTATATAGAAATTATAGGTTTTTTGAATGTTTGTGGAATGGCATTTGCAATTTGTCCATCTTCCTTCAAAATTATAAACAAAATTAATAGTAATGACTGCATTTCACAATCGTACATGTTCATTCAGACTTTTAATAGTAGATGAGATTCAAAATATTATCCCCAAACAAGAAGTAATTTACCTCCAATTAATCCCAAATTGTTTACTTTACAAATGGAAGAACCTGCCACATCTCTGGGTTTACTGATTAGTCAGTTTTACAGTCACATGCTCAACAAATGCCAATTGCAAAGATGTGACATAATTTAAAGACTTCGCTGAAATTGTCTTGCCATTCATCCTCCATGCAATAAGTTCTCAGTCCACCCTGTGCTGTTAAGTTGGTGCTCATTGGGTACAATAAATGAGAAGGTCTGACTACAGACACACCTTCCCCGAGTGCCATCTGACATCACAGCTGTGCATGAGATCAAACCCAGAGAATGGGTTACTGTCCAATTTTGTGATAGTAGGAAGGGAGAAAAGCTTGCTTCAAATAGAGCCCCAAAAAGTCCTGAAGAGCTAGTAATGGGCATACAAAAGAGACCTGGTCACGCTTATTATTTATAGTCTTGTGCTTCAGCATGAATTTCTGATTTTACACCATTAACTTCCATATCCAAGTGCAGCAAGATGTCCACAATGCTCAGGTTTAGTCTGAAAAGTGGCAAGCAAAACTTGTGCCACAAGATTGCCAGGCAATTACCATCACCAACAAAAGAGAATTTAACAATTATCCCTTAATAATCAATGACATAACTATCACTGATTCTCCTGTTATCAACTGAACAGAACTAGCCATATAAATTCTGTGGCTACAAGAATAAGTTAGAGGCTAGGAATCCTGCAGAGTGCAACTCACCACCCATCACCCCAAAGCCTGTCCACTATCCACAAGGCACAAGTCAAGAGAAGTGGAATACTTAAATTGGATAGAAATTCACCAAAGCTCCTTGAGACAGCACCTTCCAAACGCGAGACCACTACCATCTAGAAGTACAAGGGTGCAAATACATGGGATACCACAACGTGCAATTTCCTTTGAAAGCCACTCACCATCCAGAGTTGGAAATGTATTGCTGTTCCTTCATTGTACCTAGTTTGGAATCCTGGAATTCCCTCTTTTTCAGCACTGTGGGTTTACCTACAGCAAATGGATAGCACTGGTTCAAGAAGACAGCTCACCACATATACCTTCTCCAAGGCAACAAGGGGTTATCCTCCCATGAATTAATCAATAAAAACTAGTGACAGAGTAATATATTAAAAATAAAATTTGCTCAACTTGTAATTAATTAAAATTGGGAGCTGAGCTACACAAATTAGTTGGACTTGACTGAGATTTCCTCTACAATCAAATAAAACATCCACTGTGGAGCCTCTGGCAAAATGGGCAGTTGCGCAGTTTCCTGACGTGAATGTCTGTAACCCTCAGAGGATGAATGGTGAAATGGAAAGTGATGTTGTAGTGACAGTGTCAATTTGATGAAAGGTATTGTGAATGGTTCTAGTCTCCACCTTACAGAAAGGACATACAGGCACTGGAGAAGGTACAAAAATAATTCCAGGAGATGATGCTAGATGTAACTACAAGGAAAGATTGAAAAGACTGGAGTATTTTACTTTAGAAAAGAGATCAAGAATGACCTAATTTGGAATAAATTGAGATTATGATGGGTCTGATAGAGTAAACCTATTTAATGTGTTTCCACAAAACTGGAGACCATCAAGCATAAGAGTTCAATAAGGATTAAACAGGGAATTTAGAACATATTTCTTTACCCAGTATGATGAGAACGTGCAGCTCACTACCACAGAGTAGTTGAGGTGAATAGTATAGTCGAATTTTAAAAAAAGTTAGCGCCCGGGGAAAAAGAAATAGGTCGGCATGTCGAAGGGGTGAGAAGCGGTTCAAATAGAGTGTAAACTAGTTGTGTCCTAATGGCCTCTTTGTGTTCTAAATACTTTGGAAGGTAGTGAAAAAGCTAGCAGTGATCTGTATCTTTGTGCAAACTGACCAAATTGTCTTTGCTTTGTTTCAAGCAGCTTTGCCAGTGGTGGTGTGTGGGGAGAGGAGGGTGGCCATGGCCAAAGACAGAGCGCAAGATAATCAGACCATCCTGGAGAACAACTACCAACGCCGAAAGTCTTCCCGCGTGGCGGGCACACGAGCTCCCGAGGGCACCCGGCTTGCTATCAAGATCAAAGAAGAGCCACTGAGCGAGGAGGAGCCTATGGACACAACCTCAGGGCTAGGGAGCGAGGCAGCCAATGGGGTCCACTCAGACGAGAGCTCTCGTGACTCAGCAGATTTGCCTGTTGAGTGCCAAGGGGCTCGGAGTGAAGTTGTAGCAGCGGAGCTAAAAGAATTTGTGCAGGGAACTCTCAGGAAACACTATGTACTCAGTCTAAGTGAGCTGAAACGACTGTTTAACCTGCACTTGGCCAGTTTGCCTCCTGGCCATATTTTATTCAGTGGCATTTCAGATCGAATGCTACAGGAGACACTTTTGGACTGTGGATGCAAACAGATCTTGGTGCCTGTGAGTATCTATATATTACACTATAGTTATAATAAACAGCTGGTGAATGCATCTGTCATTGCGGGAGAGTTGTGTGTGAAGTTATTGGACTTGTTGGAGCAGGAGGAAGCAGAGGAGACATAGAGTATCCTTAAATTTGAGGGGCTTGAATGGGATAAATAATGAGAAATGGCTTCTGATGGTTGTAATATTAGTAGCCAGTGAGTGCAGATTTAAGTTGATTGGCAAAGGAATCTTAAGTAACGGGTGGTTAAGATTTGATAGAAGGAAAAGAGGATTAAAGATGGGCGTGGGACTGGATTGCTCTCTCTAAAAGACACTGTACAGAATCATTGGAATAAATGGCTGTCCTCTGCTGTATGATTGTACAATCCTGAGCCAGTCTGTTTTCTAGCCTGTTTTGTCATTGAATTCAACTGTAGCTGTTCAGTGTCTCAATTTCCACTCTCTGCTTTAGCTGAGTAATACTTAAACAAAAATCCATCATGTTCTGCTTTGAAAGTTTTGATTCCCATCTCTGAGCTTCTGTTGCTGTTTGGTTATTGAGGCGGTAACATTCTAGATCTCCTACCACCTGCAAAGGCAAAGGAGTCTTTTTGAGACATGGCCAGTAAGAAAGTTGGATAGTAAGAATCTTGCATTTACATAATGCCTGCACATCCTCAACATTGCTCCAAAATGCTTCACAGCCAAATAATTGTTCTGAAGTACAACACTTTTTGTAATGTATAAAATGTGCCAGCCTATTTGTGCGCAGCAAACTTTCATGATCAGCAATTAGGTAAATAATCAGACGACTGAGCGATGAGTATTGGCCAGGACACGAGGGGAGAACACCTCTTCTTTGAATTATGTCACAAGATCATTACCATTAACCTCAAAGGGCAGATAAGACCTGTTCAGGTGGCTGTAAAGCTGGAAACTCATTTGAGCTGGCCCGTGGTACCCTTCACTGTCTAATTGCTTTTTTTTATACTAAACAAAATATACAGGAATTTCTTGCCTCACTTGAGCCATACCCAGAACAGTAGAAGCCCATGTGGTGGGGTTGGAAGCTGTAATAAACACCAATGAATCGGAAAAACTCATCATTTTAAACAAGCTTCTTGTGCGTTATAGTCACTTAGCAAAGGAAGCAGAAGTGATGAGATGAAACAGTGCAAACTTAACAATGTTATTTTAGAAAAAATGAATTCGAGTCCCCACATTCAGTTTCCAGATCTGGTAAGTTGCAGTGTTAATCTCATGCTGAGTTCTTCCACATTTATATCCATTTCTTCAAGGTGAGTCTGTCAAGGGAGAGAAAAGTGTAGGCAATTCTATACCTTCTTACCCTCACCCAGTTCTTGTATTTAGAGCAATAATGGACTGGATGATTGATGCTTTTGCGAGAGCTGGTTCTTAGGGAGCTGTACATAAAAATGCCACCTCCTTACTGTTTTGGTTTTACGGAAATTTGAGTACCCTGTATCAGGTGTAAAAGATTTGGTAATGTTGTCTCTCGTCCTTGCATCTCTCTTGCAATGCAAGCATTGAAGTTTGGCCTCCCAGTATCTGGTTTGATAGCCCTTAATCAGCAGCAGGTCTGTACCAAGACTAATTGTGGAAAGAAAAAAATTGCATTTCCATAGTACCTTTCGCAACCTTGAGAACACCTCAAGATATTTTACAGCCAACGAAGCTCTTTTTAATGTATAGTCATTGTTGTAATGTAGGGGGGAAAGCATATAATTTATACACACAAAGTTCCCACAAACAGCAATGTGATAATGAGCAGATAATCTGTTTTTGTGATATCAATTGAGGTATACATATTGACCAGGATGCCAGGGAGAGCTCTCGTGTTGTTCGTTAGGACCGTGCTGTTGGGCCTTCTCCCTTCAGGGAATGTTAGGGCCTTGGTTCAAGATCTGATCTGATAACCATCATTCCATAAGAAATGCGTGAGATTATCAGCTTGGATTTTGTGTTTTAAATATCTTGTGACAGCTAGATTCTATGACAAGTTTTGCCATAAGACAGTGTTGTAGTCAATCCTTCTTTAAAACCTGGTGATAATCCAGCACCCAGAAAGATTTTTCTACATTTTGACTTAAACTTAGAGGCCTTCTATTCAACTGCCCCTAGCTCCTCCTCAGTTATTTATGCCTCAGTTTTCTGCCCTCTTTTGACTTTGCAATTTTCTGCAGCTTCGTTGCCCCTGCTTCCTCTAACATCTTGAACTGTGGGCCAGTCAATAGAATGAACTTAATTGAAAATGCTGTTTCGTTAAAGACCATTTAAACTTGTACATAACAACAATTTATGTACAGAAACAGATATATGACTAGAAGATGACAAGTTAAGAGATGGAATGCAGCAAGTTGAGTATTTCGGGTTTTCATGTTAGATCTTGCATGTAATCTGAGCTGGGAATAGGGATTCTTGGCTTTTAACAGATCATAACTGCACAGTCTTTTAAATTATTGATGCTAATGGTTTTGCTGAAGTGACTTGTGCTGATGGTGCAGTAACCCGAAGATCCTTATTGAACAAATGCTAGCTGCATTAGTCTTGATATGCTCATTTCTTATTTGGTTCCAGATTTTAAAAAAAACAAAGTTCCCAGCTCTTAAATTGATATTGTCCCTTATTGTCTCAATGCCCCAACACACTTCACTTGAAGTGAGGTAACTATTGTTCTATTGTTATGTTGGTGAATGCTGTCGCTGCTTTGCACACAGCAAGCTCCCATACTGTATGTTGATGATATTGGGTGCAGTCTGATGACAGGACTAAACCCTGCTCTTCCTGCTGTGCCACAGAATCTTTAGCACCCACCTGAATCGCCAGAAAAGGCTAGCCAGGTGTTGGGTTGATGTCATATTCAGAAAGTGGCCCCTCTTGCTCTCCTCCATTTCTGTGCTGAACTACCAGCCCTAGTTGTGTGCCAGAAGACTGCAGCGGTTCAAGAAGGCAGCTCACCACCACCTTCTCAAGGGTAATGAGGGATGATGGGCAATGAATGCTGGCCAGCCAGCGATGCCCACATTCCACAAATGAATATTTTAAAAAGAGGTTTGAACCCGTAACTATCCAAATCAATGAGAAGAGAAGGAGCAGATAATAAAGAAAGGAGAATGAATACTTTTAGATGTATTTAAGCATCTGCTAAAATATAGCCCTACCAAAGGAGCCAGTACAGTTACAGTGGGCCAAGTGAGCTCCACATGCTGACATATGGAAGAGAGAAAACTGGGCTGGTGAACTGAAAGTTTAAAGTTGAACAGAAGTGAATAGGGCAGTTGAGATATGCTGGGATTAGTGCAAGTACAAATGGTGTTTTCAAGCATGCTTTATGGTCATATCCTTATGTTTGGATATATTTTCCCCTGCATTTGTGAGTAGTTAGGTGATCATTTCAATTCAGTGTAGTTTTAAATTGACCTAAAATCACATGTTGGGTCTAGTTAGAAATAATTCAGCCTTACTCAAGTGACTATAAACAAGTGAATGCATGCCACTGGGGAATGATTGTTTGAAATGCAGAAGGTTGGGATGCCTTTGGTTTCTTGGCTTTGTGTCATAAAATTAATCTTGCAACATCACAAATGCTTAAGCATAAAATTAGTTTGAGTCTTTACTGCAGGAGCACAGCTAGTGATATGAGTCAATTTTCAGACTCATCATTAAATTAATGAGTGTTGCTGCAAGGCATTTTATCGAAGCTTTTCATTTTGTATTCATAAGGATAATTTGCAAGAATATCAATTTTAGGGGGAAACCTACATTTATTTATAAGACTGGTGCATGGTTAGCAAGTGGTCTCTGGTAGAAATGTTATCATGGCAGATGCATCAGTTAACAATGATGATTGAAAGTTAACAGCTAGGCTTTATTTAAATTTTGAACAGGCAGCATGACTCTGGTCAAGGCATTGCCCTGAAAATAAACCAGTGAATAACTGTCATTAGTTTGTTGAGTTGCAGTTCATGTGCTGTGCCTGTTTCATCATGTACGGTGTCTCTTTCAACTCAACACAATAGTTGACACCTGTTCACTGACTTATTTCAGGGCAGTGCCTTGACCAATCAGAGTTAACTTGCAGGTTTAAAATTTAAACCAAACTTGTCAGTTAACTGTCAATCATTACTAACTGATGCATTTTCCATGGAAATGTCTCTAACAATCAGAGTCCACCTGCCAACCAACCAGCACTCTTCTCTCATGCAGTACAAATGTGGTTTTCTTGTGAATTGTCCTGGTAAGTGCAAGACGAAAAGCTTCACAAAATGACTTTTTCTCTCAACTTTTGAGTTCTGTACCACCAAATGAAATTTGTATTAAATTATTCTTGCCCAATACTTGTGTCTGATCATGTAACAGAAAAAGAGTGCAGAATTTAATTGATAGGCATAGTTGATTTCCATTTGTGTTTCACAGTCAACTGTGCGGTTCCAAATCATTTATACGCATGTGAAAAAAACTGCAGATATTTCAACAACTGATGTAAGTTACCTTTTTATGCTGTGTGTTTGTAATGGCCAAGTTGATCTTGGCGACCGATGAAAATACACCGACGGTAATCAAGATTCAGGTTTTCGGCAGGTGTTGGGCTTGTGCTTTCAGACTTCTGTGGGTACCTTCTCTGGCATCATAGTGCAGCTTTGCTTTCTGCTGCTGCTGGTGTGTGCTGGATGTGGCAGTTTGCCATTCTAGAGACAGCAGCTGTTTTTACAGTTTGATATGGTTGCTGGGTCTGTAATCAGCGCCAACACTTGCCCAGGCATTGAATGATGCCAGTCTGCTGCCCCCTGCAGAATCACAGTCCTGTGCTCTGAGCTGAGGAAGTGGAGCATTGTTCATTTTGACAGCTGAAACCTCCTGAGATCTGGCTGTTGGGCTAGAAAGATGCAAATTGACTGAGAAGCATGTCTTGTTTGTAAAAGTTTTTCTAATGCTTTTCCATATAGCTACAGCAGAATATGGTTTGCATTTATGACACATAGCCAGAACACTGG